TCGTTTTCCCGATTTCCACTCGTGTTGATATAACTGTATATCGACACGGAAAATGTTTTATATTTGTTAAATAAAATATGATTTTCTTAATTTGTTTTAATCGCGCATTGACTGAAAGCCTGGTGCCTAGTTTAAGTCTAAGGATGTGAAGCTTCACAGGATAGCGTTGTTTTAAAATTGAAATTTCAAATTACTCTTACATGCGGATTTCTAGGGAAATCTTCCCTTATACTTTTAACCCAAAGAATGGAAAAGGCATGGAAAGTTATTAAAATGTTATTCAGATCTCACAAGTAACAATATTTTCATGTTTAACACTATTTAACTCTTTTTCGTTTGGCGCTGAAATAACCAGGTCGAAACAGACCTGATATTTTGCAGGTTCACATCTTTGGTTCAGCGCATGCTATGTAGATGAAAATAACATCATTCAATTCAGTGAAAAACTTCCTATTGATAAATATAATAAAATGTCAACATTATAGCTATTTACGAGGGCAAGTAGTGTCATATTTCTCTGAATCTGAATTTATTAAGTCGGTAAACTGCTGTTGAGATCACACCAACCTTTACAAAAATACAACAATATACTAAGCTTACACTATAATGTCTAAAATTACTTAGGATATTTCTAATCCTATATACTCGGTATTTACAATAATATAAAAATGTTCTGCTAATTTACTCTTAAAAACTTCTAGAGAATTTGATAAAACAATATGTTCAGGCAATTGGTTCCATTCTTTTATAGTTCTTGGAAAGTAAGAAAATTTAAAACTATCTTTATTTGCTCTCAGGATCTGGAATTTCAGAGGATGGCTGCCATGTGTCCTAGTTTCTGTATGTGGTATTGAATAGTTATGGGTATTAAAATCAATAAAATCATAATTAACTCATTTGATACATCATTATTTCCGCCTTTGTTCTAACGATTTCCATCCAAGATCATTCAACATTTCGGTTACACTAGCCGTTGGTGCATAATTCTGTAAACAGAAACATACAGCTTTCCTTTGTACATTCTCCAACATTTTTATGTCTTTCATATAAAATGGTCCTAAACTGTATGGGCATATTCCATCTTAGGTCACACAATTGTAGTATACACTGTTTCTTTAACATTAAAAGGGCAATTCCAAAAATTACGCTTTGCCAGTCTGAGGACTTTACTGGCTTTGCCTGCTACATTTTAAATATGGTCCGACCATTTCAGCTTTTCGTTAATGGTAACCCCCACATACAAAACAGATTAAAGGATTAAATTTCATCTGCCAATTTTCCTGCCAAATTTCAAGCTTGTGAAGGTCATCCTGTAAAGCATCACAACCAGATTATCTGTAATTATGCCATATAGTAGAGCATCGTCGGCAAACAGTCGGATTGGGGAACTTAATGAGTCTGGTAAATCGTTAATATATGTAAAAAATAATAGAGCCCCCAGGATCGTCCTCTGGGGCACCCCAGACGTTACAGGTGTTGATTCTGCTGCTTTCCCCTCACAAACCACCATTTGAGTCCGCCCCGTAAGGAATGAGCACAGCCATGTTAAGAGAAAGCCTTGAATGCCATAACTTTTGAGTTTTCTTAACAATCACTGGTGAGGAACTTTATCAAATGCTTTCTCAAAATCTGACTTAGATTCTTGCACTTCACTTGGTGGAATTAATATTAGGATGTTAGGGTTTGTAATCCAAGTGAGAATATATACATTTTAAGACCTAACCAGGAACGACTGCAAAAAATACAGCACAAGGTCCTTTGGTAGGAATTGAACCTACAGCCCTGTGATTACCAACTGAGCTACAGAGGCAAGCTGTTGAGCTGTAACCGTAAGTTCATGTATATATAGGTAATCGGGTGTGCGGGTTGTGATAAGGTGGACTTGAATGACTTAGATTCTTGCACTTCACTTGATGGAATTAATATTAGGATGTTAGGGTTTGTAATCCAAGTGAGAATATATACATTTTAAGACCTAACCGGGAATGACTGCGAAAAATGCAGCACAAGGTCCTCTGGTAGGAATTGAACCTATGGCCCTGCGATTCCGGTGCAGTGATCTAATCAACTGAGCTACAGAGGCCAGTTGATGAGCTGTAACCGTAAGTTCATGTATATATAGGTAATCGGGTGTGCGGGTTGTGATAAGGTGGACTTGAATGACTTAGATTCTTGCACTTCACTTGGTGGAATTAATATTAGGATGTTAGGGTTTGTAATCCAAGTGAGAATATATACATTTTAAGACCTAACCAGGAACGACTGCGAAAAATGCAGCACAAGGTCCTCTGGTAGTCTTAACCAGGAATGACTGCAAAAAATGCAGCACAAGGTCCTCCAATATCACTGCATGAACGGTTGCATTTTCTCAATAGATTTGGACATTTCGTGGATTACATGAATTAGTTGTGTTGTCGTCCATCTTTTGGCTCTAAATCTGTGTTGCATGTCAGTTAAAATACTATGTTCTTCTTCACTGTGGACAATGTGCTCCAAAACCTTACTTGCAACAGATGTTATTGAAATTGGGCAATAATTGCTTGGGTCTGTCTTTTCCCTTTTTTAACAGCTGTAACATTCACGTTCTTCCATCAAGATTCAAAGATTTATTTGCGCCAACAATAGTACATAATTTAGAAGTATATAGTTACATAATTAAACAAATAATCGAAGCACAGGCTATTTGGAATAGCAAAGCTAATCTAGCCAAATAGCCCAGCATATTATTGGATTAATATATAATAGAAGGATGAGCAGATGGTTTTACTAAAATTTTAGATACAGTATGACTGGCACAAAAAAAAACAGGAAAGAAAACAAACAAACAAAAATAAATCATGTTCTAAAGTCAGTACAAGTTTAAGAATGTTGAAGTATTATGTTTCTTGAAACATTTTTTGCTCAGAGTATTCCAAATTTTAGATCCTGCATATGTAATGCTAAATTTTCCATAATTGGTTCGTACTGAAGGTATATAAAATGTGCATTTCGATGCTTGTTGTGTATTATATTGATGTACCTGATTGGTTGGCATAAAAAAGTTATGAAAATCACGAGGAAGAGTATGATTATTAAAATCGTGCATAAACAGCAAATTTTGGAGATAAATTAAATCTGAAAATTTTAAAATACCAAGAGCTTTGAATAATGGACTTGAGTGTTCGTCAAAATTAGCAAAGGTTATAGTCCTCACAACTCTCTTTTGCAAAACAATAATAGGATTTAGATTTGATTCATATGTATTACCCCACAATATCAGACCATAAATTAAATATGGATAAATCAAAGCACAATATAAATTAACAAGAATTTCCGTATTTACATTTCTACGGATTTTAAACAGCACACTGACACTTCTTTTGATCTTTTTAGCAACTTGATGGATCTAAGTATTCCATCTCAGACTATAATCAAGGTAGATACCAAGATATTTGATGTAGGATTCCTGCCTTATCACATTATCATTAATTTTAAGGCTTGCAGTGTCAACACTTCTTTTTTGAGGAGGATGAAAAATAACGAAATTAGTTTTTTGAATATTTAATGATAATTTATCGGCACATAACCAGGTGTTAACAAATCCCAGGTTATTATTTATCTCAGCTTCTAATTGTTTCAATATAACAAAAATAATAATGGACCAAGAACTGAACCTTGAGGTACACCACAAAGGAATATTACACATGGAAGAAACAGAGCTTCCAATATAGAAACAAATTGTTTCCTGACATTAAGATAAGAGATAAACCAATCCTTGGCTACCCCTCTAATGCTGTAATGTTAAAGTTTTTCAATTAGAATATGATGATTAATGGTATCAAAAGCCTTTCTTAAATCAAGAAATATTCCGCACGAATATTCTTGTTTCTGGATTTTATCAGTAATTAACAGAGTAGCTTGAGTGGTAGAGTGGCCCGATCGAAATCCAAATTGGTTGTCATTTAATATATCATGAGTATTAACAAAAGAGATCAACCTGTTGTACATAAGTTTTTCCAAGATCTTATTAAAAACAGAAAGAAGTGAAATTGGTCGATAATTACTAGTGCAAGATTTCTTTCCATTTTTAAAAATTGGGATCACTCGAGCAATTTTTAAACTTGTCCGGTACCACTCCAGTTTCAAAAGAGTAATTAAAAAGTATTTCTAAAGGCTTGTACAGGTAATCGATTACTCTTAGTAATTGCAATAAATTAATGGGAATACTATGAGGACCACATGTTTTGGATGGATTGAGCTTTTTTATCTCATTTTGGATTTCGGTAGTTGTTACAGGATATAAAAAGAAACAATTTTGCTGAGATGCTTTTAGAAAACGTTTTGGTGATTCGCTAATTAGAGGAATGGCATCAGTTAATTTTCCTCCAATACTAGTAAAATAATCATTAAAGGCATTGGCTATCCCTTTCGTGTCATTAATTTCAATACCATCTTTAATTATTCTATTTGTTATATTTGAACGGTGTATTTTTGGCATGATTAATTCCTTGATCCCCTTCCATATATTTTTCATATTGCCTGTATGTGTTATAAAATACTCATTATAATACATTTTCTTACTCAACCTGAAAATACTATTAATCTTATTAAGATAAAGCTTGTATATTGCAAATGTATGAGTATTTCTAGACCTCATATACTTTTTGTATAACCTGTTTTTCACTTGAATAGAGGCTCGAATTCCTGCTGTTACCCATGGTTTTGCTAAAGTTTTGACCTGTCTTTTACTTAGTTTCTTAATTGGGGCAAACTTGTCAACAGTATCTGTTATTTTGTTAATAAAGGAGTCAAACACGTCATTTACATTATTGTTATGTGGTAAAATATCATTCCAGTTCAGCAAGTGAACTTCTGAAATGAAGTCAGCTTGGTTCATCTTTGAGTAACATCTTTTATACATTTCAAGTTTTTTGGAAGAGTTTTTAGTATTTGTTGATAATGAGAAAGTTGGATAAATGATCTGAAATGTCATAAAGCTGGTTTCCGCTCTAGTGGCAGTCATGGAGAACAGTCGTGTCAATTTGAGCTCCGCAAATTCAAGCCAAATTCTGGCAAATTCATTGTTGGATTTTATGGATGAAAGTGTTAAGATACCTACAAATAATATGGAAAGTAAAGTACTTTCATCTCTTGTTTTTATTGACGAAAGCGGTTACTGTTGGAAAGGCAATTTAGCTCAACTAAAGAGTTTCGTACAAAATGACTTAAAGTTAGTCGGCAAATGGTCATCGCCTGGCGGTGAAACGAAGCTATTTAAGAACACCGAGATTGTCATTAAATGGACTGGGCAAACGCGAAAGATGCTGATAATTGAAAAAGACAGCGAAGTAAATCTAAAATGTTTATGCAATGGTGATTTGATTTGCTTAGATACAGCAACGGTGTGTAAAGAGTCGATTGATAACAAAGCTAAACAATCTGTAGCGGCCGACTCCGAATTTTCAACTATATGGGCGGCAATAAATAGGATTCAAGACGTGACGGCCAAATTGGATGAAGTAACATTAGCCCACGACAACACACTTATAAGAATAGAAGCTGAGGTATGTAAAGCACAATCTAATTACAAAAGGAAAATTGAAAATTTAAATAATAAATGTCATGATTTATTACTTAAACTTGAATGTAACAAGGCACTCGAAGATAAAGTAAATAAACTTGAAGTTTTGGTCGGCAATCTTAAAGCAGACATACAGGATCTATGAAATGAGAATGGTTTGTTCAAATCGAAGCCACGGTTGTTTAAAAACTCTACGCCTAAAGTACAACAAAAAAACACCGGGAACAATGACCTATACTTAATTAATACAGTTAACATTCCTGATGAACCGATAACTATTGTTGAAAAACAACCCCAGGATTTAAACAAAAATTTAGAGTTAAACACCTCTCAGTTGGCAATAAGACTTCTCGGGCCGACAAAGTATCGGTGTACAATCCTCAGATGAATTCAGTTATTGAATGTATTGAGGTAAGAAATCAACCAAGAAGCGATCCACCGAGGGCCACATACGAGCAAAGTTACCAAACGTAATTCCGCTATTTCTAGCAAACATTTGCCCAAGCACTTAGTACCTTGCCCATTTCTAAGATGGAGAGGCTTTTGCCTAAAGGGTCCCTTGTGTGACTTCCAGCACAAAAATTCTCAATCGTCCAATAACCCGCTGAATAACCTGTCCTATTGTTCGTCCAATAATCGACCAAGAGTGTCTAATAACCTACAGAGATACCCTCATAACTTGGGCTATACATCTTATCCAAATATATCACAACCAATTACTAATCATTTTCCTTTTCCTGTGAATCCCAGCCATTTCCCCCCGTTTCAACCCCCACAGTATCATCCAATGCTTCGACCATATGTATACCCACCACCTCTGTTGACATCAATATAACTCCTTTACGCCCCCCTGTCGTGCTCCCCTCAGCACCACCTACAATAACGTTTCCTAGTATGCCCTTGAGTGTTCTAAATCGTCCTCAAAAAGTGAAAAGCAACATTTCAAATCAAAAACATTGTGTAAATAGAAATAATCTGATACACATTCAAACCAAGAAAGCCATCCCTGGGACTCAGGCACATAACCGTTTACCAACCTTTAGCTGTTTACCAAATTTTTTTCACTCCAATGTAAGATCCTTAAATGCTAAGATTGATGATTTGCAAACTGTCACCCAACAAAATAACGTAGATGTAATCCCCATAACAGAAACTTGGTTAAATTCTAGAATCACCGATGGTCCAATATCCCTCCCAGGCTACTCTATTGTTCGAAATGATCGTAAAAATGGCAAACGGGGCGGAGGAGTGTGCACTTTTATCAAGTCCAATATACCCTTTTCCACCCTTCCTAATTTTAGTGTCCCCAACGTCGAATGTGTGTGGACTATCCTCGCAAACTATCCTGCATCTTTGTTGGCGTAATTTACCATCCACCACTAGCAGACAACAATATCCTGCAAGATTACCTTATTTCCACGGTAGATAAATTATTATTAGAGCATCCTAATGCAGGAATTATGATATTGGGTGATTTTAATCATTTTGACTACAAAACATTCCGCCATTACTTCTTGAAACAAACTGTTAGGAAACCTACCAGGCAATCAGCCATTTTAGATTTGATCTTAACCAATATGCACAAGTGGTACAATGAACCTGAAATCTTACCAGCAATTGGCTTGTCTGACCACCTGTCCGTTCTTGCTACTCCTGCTGTTTTTTAAATTAAATTAACATGCTCATTAGTAATTCATAAACCTTGTGGCAAATCATGTCAGCCATAATATGTCACATGGAGTGGCTTTATATCTGATAAAGCATGTGGCATTACATAATTGTTTATCCTAATTAGTATGATTATTTTATGGCTCATCCTAATTAGTATTCTTTTGTAGTCTTATTTTAAGCTATTCAAAACACGAGTAGGAGTGTTTTTTCAGACATAAAATGCTTGGCTGCACCTCACGTTTTATATCTGATAAAACACTCCTACTCTTTGTTTTAAATAGTACTTAAAATTTTCATTACACATTGCAATTAAAGTATCGTAATATTTAAAGGATGCTACGTACATTCATCTATGTCTGACTCATCCTGATTTCCAAATGTTCAAATTTCGGTAAAAAACAAAGAAAACCTATCTCTTTATTCTTGTCATTTAATTTCTACCCTTAAACAGGTTTGTTGTTTTGGATGGATTCAAATAAATCTCGGGTTTTTGTGCATGTCAGTAGCTAATAAAGGCCGGTTCTAGGACAGGATGGTTTGCGCATGTGTGGGTTGAATTGATGACGTCACTTCCGGTTTCCCAATTCCCCTGCCTGCCGGACACCTCCCCCGTGCTCGCGCATTCGTGGTCATGAACACGCAGGCACGCAAGCACGTGCTCTGACAATCCGCCGTAAATCCTCGTGGGTGTTGACCCAATGTTCTGTTGACCCGATGTTCTGATGACCCCGCCGCACGCCTGCGTGCCCCGCATGCCCACACGTCCACATGCCCGCATGCCCTCACCACTTGCGCATGCTCACACACACACACGCTTCCCGGAGTCTCGATGAACAGAATCAACATTTATAGATTTATCAGGTTAAAAATAAAAGTAATGTCTTTGCCTAAATGGATTAAGGATAAGAAAGCAGTTACTAATATGGAGTGCGAAGATGGGGATAGTTTTAAGTATACAATCACACGTTCTCTGCATCCGGTGGAGAAAAAGGTAAGTACCATTAGCGGAAACTTGATAGAACAGTCAGAGAATCTGGACTGGTCGTCACCGATTGTGCCGGAATTTGAGAAGAATAACGGAATAAGGATTAATTTGTTGGGCGACAGGATTATTGCATTAAAGGTGGCAGGATGGACGTATCCGAAGGTTGTTACGTTATTTTTTTACGGAGCTAGGTATTATGTTGTTAGGAATATAAGTTGTTTATGGTCGGGTCAACTTAACAGGAGTAGGAGGTCGAGGATATTTTGCGATCAGTGTTTGCTTTCCTTCGGAGGTAAGGTAGGGTTTGATAAGCACATTCTTATCTGTCGCACCAGTATAAATAAAGGTATGGATTCTTGTGAAGTGTTGTATGAGGGATGTCGGGAAAATACAGATTTTCCTTTTGAAGTGTCACTTAAGAAATATTGGGAAAATATGGATTTGTATTTAGAGACTATAAAAAGGGCCAATTACAAGGACATGAGCATCATTTATGTGGCGTACTTAGACTCTATCTGTTGGAACTTTGATGGACCGGCTCCAGGTCGGGAATTGCTGTATAGCATGGATTTGCCGCTTGCAGAGACCCTTTTAGCATACCACAAAGGGTTGCGTCTGTCCCGGGAACCGGAGAAGAGGAGCGGGGATATGGAGCTCTTTAAAATAGCGGAAAGGGAGTACTTGGATTCTTTTGGTCCTAAGGAGCCGGAACCTGTGGAATTTCCTAACAAACGTTTTTGTTCCGAGGGGTGTGAACATCAGTTTATCGGTATAAATGGGAAAAGAACGTGTTGTAAGTGTGGGTTAGAGGTTGGTAGAACCGGTTACGTTTCCGATTTCGGTTGTTGGGACAGGACAATTATGGGGCATAAGCCAGCTACTATCCGTGAGAAAGTCTATGGTTTTATAAAAAGGAAGGGTGTGTCGGAATACGAACTATTTGGGAAAGGATCGCCCGAGGTTATAAATAAAATTGTTAATATTTGCGACAAAGAGGACCCTAAGGGGAAAGGGCTTCCTAATCTTAATATTATGAGTTATCAGGTATGTAAATTACTTGGTGTGGATGTAAATGAGTCTTTACTTAAGATTCCTAAGGGGAAGGTCCCTCACGATCGGTGTAGGAGATTGTTTCAGAAGGTAGGTTTGGAGTATGTTGAGTAATTTTAATGTTTTTACCAGTCATTAAAATTGAAGTAATAAGTCCAGGGTAATGATAATAAGGAGGACCTCAACCGTTATCGGGATCAATAGACAGTTGATCAGGCACAGCCACACTAGTTTCTGTGGTATCTTCATCATTTTGTTTATCATATTTTTTGCCTGTTGCGCTGGCATAACCGATTTGGGTATGTGCGCTCATTGTGATGTCTCCTCGTTCGATACCGATGCCAAGGTTGAACATTTTTCTCCTTTTATGATTTTTGTTGTACTTTATTCTGTTTGCCGTTTCATGTTTTGTGGACAGACATCCCATTTTTATTTAACCGGAAAAATAAAATGCCATTCAACATGATTATCGTAGGTATGACAGCCTGTGGGAAGACACATTACCTCATCCGGGAGTTAAGGACGACGTTCTTCCATCAGTTTGAAAATATATTTTTTATTTGTCCTACCTATCATTGGAATAAGACCTATGATCAGGATTTCATTCACGAGGACGACAATTTCTTTGTTATTCCGTGCCGGCAGGATGACGTGGAAGACTACCTTAAATTTGTAGTGGACTTCACCGGGGGAAGGGAATCTATCATCATTCTGGACGACTGTGCCAGCACTAAGTCTGTGAAGGATCGGACTGGAGAGCTGGTTGACCTTGGCTTTAGCGCACGTCACATGAGTATTTCCACCATTGTTATTACCCAACAGCTGACCTCTATTGCTAAGCCGTACAGGCAGAATATTTCAAAATTGGTGACGTTCTATAATCCGAATAGGCAGGACATGAAGATTATTCTGGATGAACACCTTCTTGTTGACAACACAGAAATGAGATCTATTAAGGAAAAGTTGAAGGAGAACAAGTATGCCCATCTTGAAGTGACTTTCGTACATCCGTTCAATCATGAAGTAAAAGTTCCTATAGTATAATAAAGGGGAATGGAACAGGAACCGCCAAACGCAGAAAATACGGAGATAGAGGACAGTAGGGCAGAGCTTATTCACCTGTCCAATGCGGGTGAGATTAAACAGTCCGAAAGTTACCTGAAGAAGGCATCCGGGAAGGTTATCTTGAAAGTACGGAGGGAATATATTACCGCCCAGAGAGAAAAGGCGAACATGGTACTGGCAGAGGCTTTAATTGAAAAATTTTTGGATCTCATGGAAGCTATCAATATGGTGGATAGTGGGAACGAACTAAGGGAGGAATTAAATCAGGATAAACTGTTTAAGAGTGATGTTAAAAGCGTAGTAGCAAAGATGTCCCCATACATACCCTACCTGGGTATTGTTAGTGGTGGAGTGACGACAGTGAAACATGTTTATCGAAAGACACCTGAACAACCGCCTTCTGAGGAAGGACTGGAGACTGATGATCAAGCATAAAATTTTCCAAACTCTTTTGAGTATGGAAAAACTGTGGATCTCGAATAATTTAGTACTTTATTCCAGCAAGTTGTCAGTTTGTGATCTTGATAACACCGTCGGAAAGGACGAACAGGTAACATATAACGTTTGCGGTTGTGGCTTTCTTTGTGATCTCCACCAATATTCTGGATTGGGTGTTCTGGATTTTAGCACCGTTTCCGTACGTGTTGGCGTCGCTTTGCAGTTCTGAGATCGATGACGAATGCGAATTTCTTGTCCTTGAAAAATCCGGTTAGTGTCCGATGACTGATTTCGCCGGTACCGAGCCTTGCCTCCTCGAATAGTCTTGTTTTGGGGATACCCTTACTATAGACTGCATTGGGAACACCTTCTATGGTTACCCTGACCTTTTCGATATTGGGGTAGATATATTCCTCGCTGTCTGTCTTTGTCTTGTTTGTGAATAGCATAACAATGGCTTTCATACTTCTGCGTGGTACGTTGATCGTTTCGTTGATGATGGTGGAATCTTTGCTCCATTCCGTTTTCTTCATTAGGGTAGCATGTTCGAAGGATAAGCTCGCGTTCGGATCCGTACAGACCCTCGGATTTCCTTGCGAGATCGATGTTGTCGATGGACTCGTATTCCAGTTCGATGTTCTCCAGGGTGTATCCTTCCACATTTTCTCTGCCTTGGGCGTTCATGATTTCTGCCGCTGTGGGTAGGGTGATCACATATTGTAGGTCGTTTGCCATGTTGTGTGGGGCATAAAGTCTGTGGTCTTTGAGGATCTTGTTGATCCTGATTTTTTGTTTCGTTCCGAATACACCGAACAATAGCCTCTGCATCATCGTTTGCGGCGTTGTCTTTGGATATTTTCTTCCTTGTGGCTTCGCTGGCAATGGCATCCTCTACCATATCATCACGTTGCTTGTTGTGTAGCCATAGGTCCTTGTAAACTTCCAGTAGGCTTTCCCCGCTGTTGTCGTAGACCTTTTCTCCTGTGAGTCGGATTTCCAGTCCCTTTTGGAGCAGTTTCCCTAGGTTATTCCTGAACCAGGATTTTGTATTACTGTTCTTAAAGTCGAAAACTAAAGCCATATTATCCGGTACAAGAACGGAGTCGGCTTTTAGCTTTGGGATATTAACGTAAATTTCTTCTCCAGGTTTGGCAGAATTGGGATTAAAGGTTAGAACATGTCTGGTCCTATCCCCAGTAATTTCCGTCCTATTCATCCGTCGGAAGTTAGGCATAAGTTCAGCTGTCCGGTTCATTATGTTTTATTATAGTATAACTTTATTTCCTTCGTTTCATTTGTAGGTACTTGTGTACGGCTCCGGCAATTAGGACTGCTACGATCCATAGATTTTTGGCAAGGAAGGCGAGACCTTTAGCTCCCCAGCTTAGGATAGTACTTAGTAAATTTAGGATAGGTACTAGGATTGGTAGTGCGGATTTTGCAAGATTTGCCAGTGCTTTTCCTACGGCTCCTAATCCTTTGGAGGCTCCTACGATGGTCTTTTTTCCAGCCACCACGACCGTGGTTATAATTCCGGAAACGGCAATGGCAGCCAATGCTCCCAAATTCTCGCGTGCCCACTTTTGAAACCTTTCAAATTTTGTCCTAACGTTTTCTCTTACTATTTCCCTAAACCTTACTTTTCCCTCTTCCGTTTCTGGCTGAAGACCTAGGATTATCCTTTCGTTGTCTATGCTCTGTTCCGCAGCTATTATTCCTCTTCTCATGATTCTTTCCCTTTCTGGCACCGTCGTGATTTCCGCTTTTTCCTTAAAATTATCCCTTTGTATCTTAAGTGCTGCAATTCTGGTTTCCGGTGGTCCCTTGGGTTCGGTCACAAGTTCAAGTTCCCTTTTTTCGTTAAAGGTTATCATTTCCTTCCTGTACATTTCTTCCAGGTCGTCAAGGAAGTTTTCATTTACGACGGTGGTTTCGGCATGGAATTCTTCCACGGCATCCTCATAAATTTCTTCTTCGCCTGACCTTGATGTTTCTCCCCCGGTTTCCTCTTCGACTACACTTTTGGCTTTACTTCTATGTTCTTTGAGTGCTTCTTCGTACAGCCTTAAAAATGTCTTTACAGATCCGGCGGATTTTTTATCCTTACATCAGTTGTATGAATCACCCATATCGATGTATGCGACATCATTTCCGCTAAATGTTAGCTTATTCTTAGTGATGTCCAGGCGGGAGACAAGTTCCTTAGAGTTATGTCCGTCGGCTGGATCTATTTGGTACTCGGTCTGAAAGAGCCTCCTAACATATTCTACTGTATGTTACAGTTCATCTAACTGTCTTTTTCTCTTTTTGAAGGAGTCGTCTTTATTTTCCTCACAGAAACTGGAGGTTTTTGCATCGTCTAGTCCATCTAGTCCTGAAAGAAAGCCGTCCTCGTCAAGGGGTGTTTCGGCGATAGCACCTTCATCACCTCCTTCGGCTCCTTCTGGTGGGTTAAGGTTGCCCATCTCTATGTTGTCCTCCATCTTTATTTAAGTCTAAAGATAATTCTTGTTCATAATACCCTTCCCAAAATGTCTTCCTCATCCTCCGGATCCTTAAGGCTGTACATGTTGGGATCTCCCCGGAACACCGCTGTAACGACATATACTTCATTGTCGAAGTTGGGTTCGTATCCCTTTTCAAAGGTCTTGTGCTTTATTTCCACCCTGACATGATCCCCAACTTTAAATTTAGGATCCGGAAAAGTGCTTAGTGGATATCCGTAGATTCTCGTCCAAACTTCATCCTTATTTTCCTCATTCACATTCGCCGGTTTCATTCCTATTGTCCTGTGTGTGGAATTATTATAGGATCTAACGAGAGCAGGTAGAATGTCACCCAAACTTTCGTCCTGTTTTCCGTAAAGTATTTCCACATCCTTGTTTTCAGAGTCCTATTGAATCTTTCGATGAAGGTCCTTGTGGAAAAATAGTGGACATCGTGATCTTTTAGCAACGTCTTTACTCCTACATTGTAGAATTCCTTTCCGTCATCAAACTGTGCTGTTTTAGGATATCTACCAAATCTTTCCTTAAATTGTATGAGCACTTTCCTCCATACAGGAATGGCAAAGGCATACCGGCTTAGCACCTCTATGACAGTTAGGATCCAGCGGTTTCCCTTATTTCCATGGCTAAATTTACTCATATCCACAAGGTCCATTTGAATTTGCTGTGCAAGTCCATCCACATAGGTCCTTTGGGTTTTGTAATGTTTTCGGGACGGTTTGTGAATAATATAGGTATTTTGTGTCTGTAACCGTTCCTTAACAGTACCCACCGTTAACATTAAAATATATTTCCCGGAGAGCTACATCTAATGGTAGGTCCATTTTATTATCTGTAAATAAAACATGAAGAAGATAACGGTCTATGTTGAAGACGGAGGGGTTACACTGGATTTACAGGATCCACTGATCCTTACCCCATGGATCCGAACTTTACGTAAAGACTGCTGCCGTGTTTTGGAATTATAAGAACATTCGTAAGGGGTTCAATGGCTACATTTCCGTAGATGGGAAGAATATTATGATAGATGAAGGGTACTGGACCTTTAAACAGCTTAGGAAAGAGCTGGAGGAAAACGGATTAACACTTAAGGAATATCCCGATGGAAGGATAAGGATTGACTTTGCTAAGGGGACAGGTTCCGCAGGACTTTGGAATCTCACGAGTATTTTGGGTTACTGATCCTCCAATGGTCCTAAATACACCCCACACATCAGCGATCGTCCCGTAGACATTCATGAAGGCTTGCGGTACCTCACAGTTAGCTGTAACCTTGTGAATCGTGAGCATAACATCGGACCGTACGGAAATCGGAGTACCGTCATCACTTCCCTTCCCATCGATGGAACCAGACCTCTCTTTGGAACCACAACCAAATACAATGACATTGAAAGCCAAGTACGGGTGGATGCTGGTAAATATAGTGAAATCCGGTTTGAAATAGGGTCTAATACCGGAATCATCCCTGGAGATGTCTTACTAGAACTTTACATCAAATAAAAGGATGAGTGAGGAAATATTCCGGAAATACTACGGAAAGAATTACGAGAAGGTTAGGGCAGCAATACCCATCGAAATCCAGAAAATGAAAGCAAACTTCATGAAACAATACCCCAATGCAACCCTATCCAAGTTTGACTTTGAGGTTACCTTCGCCAAGGACGGAACCGTGAATTCCAAAGACATCTCCTATAAGGTGGATGATCTCACAAGCTACGATATTACATCTGACACATTTCGTAAGAATACCGAGTGGACCAAGTACCTATACTGGGTAGAGGGGTGGCGTAGTGTTCTTTCGGATGCGATCTTCCGTCCGAATAAGGATTTCAAGATGGATGTGCATACCTTTAAGGTTTATGTTACGGAGACCGAGAATTTCCTGACGAAATTGGAGCCTATTAAACCATCATACGATAACCCCCCCCCCCGGAGCCTTAATCAACACTGTACCCTTTGATTACCATTCCAATTCCTACTTCTGTTCCCTAGCAGCATGCTATGTTGCTATGTTTAAATCCGGAATTTCCGAGGATCATCTTACGGACAACTTTCCCAATTCACACTCCAACATAGTAACCTCCATTGTCCGATTCCACCTTCATCTTCATCTGTCTAGGTTCATGCGTAATCCAAAACTACTGGACCAATATCTTACGGGAGATGATATACGAACCATTAGGAAGTATATGCCTGTATGTGAGACATGGGTTAGGAGGACCGTCTCTTCCCACGCAAACCTCGGAACGTGGTATTATGCGTTACCTGTAAGCGAACAGAGGAGAATACGGTGGCAGAAGTACCGTTTGACCAAATATGGAGGCTCATTTATCGAATATGAATACCTGACTGGTAGATCACCCTTTGATGTTGAAAATGATTATAAAACCCTTATTCCCAAAACATCCCGGGGACTTACCAAAGTTGGACAAAAATTATTCCAGCAATACATCGAAGCATTTGTGTATTCTGTATCAGTGGCACAGGCCAAAACCCGGTGGAGTATTACGGGTCAGGGTGCGAAAAGTTTGCAGACACAGGAGGTTTTCCGGAAGGTTGTAAAAGACACAATTGTACAAGACGATGTGACAATTACCATTTCCAACATGAGGACGATACAATACACATGTCGTCCTAAATTTTGCAGTTATGCCGAGTTTAATCCTAATCCCCTCTGACCTAAGAATTTTAGCAAAACCTATCCCAGGATTCAGCAATGTCCTAACGATAGCTAAAAACGGGATGACGTTCGGAAAGAATGAGAAGGTGAATTATACAAGTAATCCCGTTCCTACCCCCACAAACGATGTAGATGAAAGCCATGACATTACACCGGTTCCTGCTGTGGAGGACTTCAAACCCCCGGAATTAAGGCAGAAGTCTGATACTCAAAATATTGCTCTTGGGACAGCGGCAGTAGCATCCTTTGGACTTGCCATAGTTAATAGAGGAGATAGTTTGGAAACTCATTAGCATTACAATAAACCTCAGTATCTATGTTTCTGTTCAGCTTTATGTAAAAATGTGGTCTTTCATCGTCACGTGCATATTGTATTTTTGCTCAACCAGCCAATAGCAACGGTTTTGTCCAATTGCCCATCCATGACATTAACAATAGGACATTTTGAACATTACTATTGCTTGACTTGAGAAAAATACAATACACACGTGACGATGAAAGACCACATTTTTGCATAAACCTGAACAACATAGATAATGAGGTTTATTGTGATTTTATTGTAATGCTCACGAGTTTCCAAACCATCTTCCTCTATTAACTATGGACTTGCATACCTAGTATTTCGACGTTAAATAAAATGAGCATCTTATTCGGATACGATTACTTTGATACAACAACAGAAGACCTGGATATCCTAAAACAGAAACTAGCAGTAGTTGAAAAGGGACAGCAGGGAAACACGGCAGAAGTTGCCAAACACATGAACGAGATTGTAAAGTTGAATAGCCTTGGAAAAAATTATGTACAGTACAACTTTTCCCAAATACCCGGTTATCCGGGCGGATTCTTGCAGACATCTACCATTACAGATACAGATAAGAACGCAAAATTTATGGTCTTCAAGGTCGGTGGATTCGAAATAAATTTTTCAACCCCATCCTCACCCTACGGATTCTATGAAGGAAGTATAGGAACAGTAGTTATGTTTACGGTTAGTCAGAGGAATGCTATTATCCGCACATCCTTTTCGTTCATGGTACAGCGTGGATGCATCAGCCTTAATGGTCTCAAATTCAAAAACATAGACTCTGCCGGAAATGCAACCGTCAGAAATGAGGCAACAACTATAGATTACTTCCTCATGACAACATAAAGTTTTAAATCCAAATGGTAGGATTTAAAATATTCGTGTTAATCCACAGGCTCCCCCAACACCCAGTATACCCACTGTTAACACTGCGTATCTTTTCATCTCGTCCGATGGTTGATAGTAGTCCTCCAATTTCGGTCTGCGTTGGGATGCCGTAAAATCCATAAGCCTCGTATAGTCCCTCAGGTCTTCCGTCTTTGATCTGTTTTTCTCCTGTTTCCGATTTCATCATCCCGATAACCTTCTTGTTTACTCCGGTTGGAATTCCGTAGGGGTGGTTTTTACCGATGTTGCTGGTATCGAATTTTTCGTAAACATCTTTGGAAATGTCCTTGAGGAAGTTCTCGGTGGTGATTTCGTAGCACAGGGAGTCCGTATCTGTGAATAGAAGTTCGGCATCGTTTCCATACATCGGTTTGCTGTAGTTATAATGAAGGTCATACATGAGGGTTTTGCTGATATCCAGGATACTCATTCCGAGGTAGATGGGTTTTTTCAGTTTTACGGAGGTCCTCCTCATATGAACTGCCACCAGGTTTTCTGAGAAGATGGTTATCGATTTGAAGTTGTGCTTTTTGGATAGCTTGTTCCATTTCTTTTCGTCGTTAACGATTCTGATGTCGACTCTGTTCCTTACGTTTTCCATGGTCTTTCCGAATATGGAGTTGTTCATGAGCTTGAAGAAATCCTTTTCGAAGTCTGTGGTTCCTTTGGTTCGGAGGTCTGTGTTAAGCTGTATGTATTCTTTCATCCAGTCCCTTTCGAGGAATTTAACTCCCCGATGTATTTTGGTTAGCTTCAACCCCAGGTTCAGGTACTGTTTTATGTTTGTGTGGTGGAGGACGTATTTTCCCTGTTATTGAGGTTGGGGATGAGTTTTTCTGTCTTGTTAACCATTATCCTTTCGGGTGCTAAGGGGTATTCGTTGTGTAGGTCGTGGAGATTGTCGGGGTATTCGAGGTCCACCTCGAGGATGCAATTGTGTTTCGTCCATTTTTCCAACTCGTTGTCGTTCATCCATTTGAAGTCCTTGACGGGTAGGGGTTGACTCATTGCCCATCCGTAGAGGTTGTTTGCATCCAGATAGGGTAGGTACTTGCTTTCCTTCTTGGGGTCGTAGTTAGCCATGTATTTGTTGTTGGCTATGGCATGTCTTTTGGTGATGGTGCTGATTCCTCCGCGGATTCCCCTTTCTATGAGTAGGTACATGTCTGGATCGGAAATAAGCTCCAGTTATACTTCGGTTAGTTTCAGATACACATCCCACGCCAGTCCCGGTGCTGTGTAGTACCACAGGGGATCGAGTCCGTAGTTTGCTCTACATACCTTTCTGAAGTTTTCCATTATGTCGGTTAGTAGAAGAACGTCCATTTTAAGGTATAGGTCGTGGTAATCCCTCATGGTTTTCATACCAAAGGTGTTCCACACGTTTTGTGCTCTCTTGTAGTCGGTGTTGCTGATGTCTTCACCGGTTAGACTGCTGAAGAATTTGCTCTTGGGTGGTAGAGATGTTCGTAGGGGTATACGCCTTTCTTCTTTAGGATTTCCTGTTGTTCCGTGGTGTAGTGTGATGTCATTAGGTCCAGGTTTTCGAAGTCGGCCTTACCTAGACCCTTAGCAAGTTTGTCCAGGGAGCTTGCCATGAATTTGAAGGAGTCCAGGAATCTTAATTTCCTTTTGACCTTCCTTTCCTTACCGTCTTTGTTTTTGAATGTATCAACCACTACCTCTTTGGTAAAGGATATGTACTTTTCTTCCGTTTTGGGAATGCACCCGATGTCTCCACTGCTCACCCTGAGGTTCCTGATAAATAAATGGGCATCATACCCTTCGAGGTTATGGACTGGTATGAATTTCGGCTGCCTCATCCTGAGGTTGCACGAGTTGTGTGCTGCACCTCTATACTCTCCTGTGTAATGGCAGTGGTCGCTGACCTTGTAGTCCTCTTCCGTAAATTCCCCTCCGCATGCATAGCACTGTGTGGACAGACAGTAGTCTTCGATGCCTTCAGGGGTCATATTATATGGGGCCGGCGTTTTGAATCTTTTGTGGATATCCAGGGTTTCCTCCTTGAGAAGGTCCACAAATTTTTTGGTTATGTCTTCTCCTTCATATTGCTGGGTATAGTGTACCAGCTTGGGTTTGTAGATGGAGTTGTCGAAGAACTTAATGTAGTAGCAAAATCCACTAGGGTTGTGTTTCTGGTATAGTGTGGTACTCGACCTGTCTGGACTTTTCTCTTCTGCATCTAATCTGTTGATGTAACATTCAAAGTCTGCATAGATGACAATCGAGAATTCCTGTATCTTTTCGTAGTTTTCGAATTTCGTGGTGCTTCCGGGTTTTGGATACTTGTGTCTTTGGTAGTCGTTGTTCGAACATAGTTCCAGAACATTCGTCGTTGTCGTTCTTCATGTTGATAATTGCTTTCTTGCTGGCTATGGATTTGGGTAGTGGTTCGTGTTTCATACCCCTAAGTGGTCGGAACTCACCGATGTGGATTTCCAGCCGGGTAACCCTTCGTAGTCTCCATCCACTGCCCCTCCTCTGATATTCCGAAAAGGGCTTTAGCATCTTTTCCCTCATGATGCTCTGGGTTTCTTCCGTATCGTCCGTACCGATAAGTTTGTGGTTCTTCGATCCGAAGTGAGCGATGGTTGACACTTCTTCCCCAGTTTTCATATCGCTCCTTACCATTTCACAGGCCAGGGACATCCTTACGTTCCTGGGTTCCGTTTCGGAGTTTATGAGTGTTTTAACATCGTCTTCCGTAATGGTTAGGAAGTAGAATGGGTCGTAGTTGCCGTTTGGGGTGATGACGTACTTTTTTACCTTTTTCTTAATGGCGTGTTTGGTTAGGATGGGCTTCAGGATTTCCCTCGGCTTTTCGCAGATTTTGCTAAGCTTGTCACCAACCTTCAGTTGGAGTTTGGCAAATTTTTTCCTACCCCTCCACTTACCCTCTGCGATTCTACGGTTTTCCTCGGCCCGTCTTTCGCGGGCCTTTGCATTCCGTCGCAGGTGCTGGGTCTCCTTCTTCCACTTTTGAGCCTCGGCTTTCCAGTCCGTAACTTCCTTCCGGCATCTTTTCTCTTGTTTGGCGATGTCGCTCTTCCATTTCTTCGCATCCCTTATTTCCCTTTTCGCGTCGGCCTTGGTTTGCTTCCTACGTTTCCGGAACTGTCTTGCTGCCAATTTAACTTCCTTTCCGACTATCCTTCTCTTCTCCTTCTTGAGTAGTTCGTCGAAATGGTTTTTAATTTTCCCTTCTATTTCTAAGCTCATCTCCTGGCCTTTTCCAGAACGTTGGTTCTCATCAGTTCGATGGATGCGAATTTTCTGTCCGAAATTGGAATACTTGGATTAAAAGTATTCATTGCTTTTATTATATAGAAAAGTTTATCTATAAGGTGGTTTTGGGGTTGATTTTGTTTTTCAGACCTAAAAGGTGTGAAAAAGCAATGAATACTTCCAAGTCTTCCAGAAATCTGGACTAGAGAGAACTGCTCTCTTTATTATATAGGATTTCTTTTGTAGAAGTTGATTTTGTTTGTGTGACAAACGGTCCACACCTGTGTCCACATAATTGAAAAACACGCCAGGTCACTATCTGGCCAGATTTTAGCATGAAAATGCATGGAAACACCCTATTTTAGAAAGAGGGTTCACACCTACGCCAGACATCTATTTACCCCTAGTTGGACGCAAAAGCCTCTTCCAGGGCTCCGCCTTCCTTTCCCTCAGATACACCCCCTCCTGAAACAGTACCTGAACGGATACCATATCCCCGGACACGTATATACTTGGGAACCTAATCAGAGCATCCAGATGAAAGTGCTTGTCGATGGGTTTCATGGGATCTATATCCCCTCCCCCATCCTTATACATCTCTGTGGTCTTGTCGATTTTTGCGTATAGGACGGGTTGTTTCCCACTACGGTAAAAGCATCTTATGGCTTTTGTTCCGGACTTTCCAACCTCTTTGGTAAATCTTCTCTCCAGTACCTCCAAGGCCGATATGAAGTCCTTGTGGTCTCCAACCGCCAGTGGGATGGTGAAGTTCTCCTTCCCAAACGTCTTGTCCTTATTGATCCCGTAAGCCAAACAGTCCTTCAGCTGCAATAACAGGGGTCCACTGTCCTGCGCCACAAGTCCAATGCTTTCGGACCTGAATCTGTTTCCAACGGGTTCCTCAAAGTCAAACGATTTTTCGGAGAAGTCTTCCACTCTGGTTATGGAAATGGACATGGTTCCTTTTTATTATACAAACACTATCTATAAATGTTGATTCTGTTCAGCAAGACTCCGGCAAGCGTGCGTGTGTGTGAGCATGCGCAAGCGGTGAGGGCATGCCGGCATGTGGACGGGTGGGCGTGCGGCGGAGTCATCAGAACATCAGGTCAACACCCACGAGGATTTACGGCAGATTGTCAGAGCACGTGTGAACGTACTTGCGCGCCTGCGTGTTCGTGACCACGGATGCGCGAGCACGGGGGAGGTGTCCGGCAGGCAGGGGAATTGGGAAACCGGAAGTGATGTCATCGATTCAACCGGAAGTGACGTCATCAATTGAACCCACGCATGTGCAAACCATCCTGTCCTAGAACCGGCCTTTATTAGCTACTCATGTACGTAGTATTTTAAAGTCTAATACTCCATGTATTATTGATAATACTGCTATTTACCACACCTACAAAAAGAATATATCAATCAAAAAGTCGTAACCTGTTATACACTAGTGGTGGTCAAAAAGAACTGATCAATATAAGCAACATTATCAGTTGTGGTACAATATTTTTCTTCAAAAAATATCAATTAAAAGATTAATTGTTCGAAAAAAACCCAATCTATGTAAAAGGTTGACCCATGATAGTTATGTGATGTACCGAATTCCAACAGTGGGACATTCATTGGTCACAAATATCTCAAAGAACATGTCAAATTTAAATCAAGATCAGTCGAGCTTGTCAAGTAAATGTGATTTGTGATATCTTTAATATTTGGAACATTTGTTCCATATTCCTACTTCATAGTATGAGTGCGCATCATGGCCCTTCCATGAAAAAATTGTGTGCAATTTTTGGCAACAAAATTATATTTGGTGCGCAATTAGCAGTTTGGTATGAATTTGTTATTATCCCTGAGCCAATGGCGCGAAGCGCCGTGCAAGGGTACTAAATCCCCCTGGCTATGTACACCCGGGGAAACAAAAGCATTAGCGAAGTCTAAAGTTCATCAATCATCGCAAGCGCTAACCAACGAGCGATGATCTTGAGTGGGTGGTCATCCTCACTTATCTAAAAAATATGGCAAGCAAGATTTCAATTTTAAAAGTTTCATATACAACAAGCTTGAAGCAATTTTGTTTGACGAAATGAGAAGAATTGGTTTATCGGGAAATCGTGAAATATACGGCAAGTTTGCTTTGAATATTTTTAAAATGTTTACGCCGAATTTTGTTGCTTTAACTTTTTACGTAATAAAAAATATGAACTATAGAAGCTCTAAGTTTCATAAAATTACCGTTTAATTTGAGAAAAATCTTAAAATGTAAAGGCGAACAAATTGATTTGAAGACTGAACTGAAATTAATTTTGTTTTATTTGTATTAAACTTATCATGTTTTGTTAAGTAAAAACAGTTTATCAGCAAAAAGTTTACTTGAATGAACATTTCAAAACATTTTATGAAGCGTTTCAAGTTAAATTTTACATTAGATCAAAGCTCACAAAATGCAAAATAATATACCTACAGTATATATTTCGGAAATTTATTGTTCTGTTCTATAGTCAAAAGTACGAATCTTTCAACTATTTTGCAGTTTTGTACAAAATATATGAAAATAAAATTTTAAGAATATCGTGTTGTCATGGCAACACTTGAGCATGAGCCTGCGTTCAGTGCTGGTCATTTCTGAATACTTCATGTTTAATATATGGAAATATTGGCAAGGGGTTCCTGCATGCATGTATTTCTAGTTGATAATATTATTTCTGATTATTGATAAGTTGGTTTACTGTTATTAACTTTTCAACAGTTCTTTTTGACCAGCTATGTAACAGCAAGTAGTTATAATATTAATCAGTTAATGCTATAAATAACGTGTCCGTAATATATATGCAACTGAAATTGAACAAATAAAACTACTGGGATATAAAGAACTATGTTAGTTTGACCCAGAAAAGGAATGTTACGTATTCAACATATTGTGTAGTTGCACTACTACGAACTCTATTCCAGCAATATGCAGTCACTAAATCTGCATGGAAAACATGTTACTTATGTAAGTTTTGTGCGATTCCTTGAGCAAAATGTTGTGTGGAAATAGGAAATCACTGTATTAGGATAGTACAGTACAGTCACGAGGACTACACGTGCGTTTTGAGCGATTGCGCCAAAATCGGTCACGTGACAATGTGAAAGGGACTTGCAAGATGGCCGCCATTATTGAAGATAGATACAAAACAGTGTTTTACCGACTTTTTTAACGGTTTATTAAAACATCAGGCGGCTTTGTTGGACTTTATTGGTTTGTTAAAGTTACGAACTAACTTAAAGTTGTATGGTTTATGTCATAAGAAGCTTAATGTTGAAATAAATTTAATGCTTACGATGTTGAACGTGTCGTGTTGAAACCTGTTTCTAAAGTTGTACTTTTTCACGGATTTACACCGCATCCCAGTACAGTAAAACACTGATTTAATCGTTTACGAACACTTTGGCGATCGGTTGTATGTGCTTGTGAAGAAGGGACATTGGAATTTTGTTTGGCAAATTTATAAAACGTCACTTGAAGACTACGCACTATAAACAACTACAAATCTACAATTCAATATCAGAATGGATGAACTTGAAGTCAAGAAACAGGAACGTAGCAAGTCGAAAATGGCAGTTACACGTACATCTCGAAGACTAATCGATGCAACTCATCGAAACGTCGATATTGAGACACTGAAAGGTTTTATTGTGGAACTAGAAAAGGTATATGATGAATTTTGTATTATTACTGAAGAGTACGAGTTATTAGTTTCCAACGAAAAGTTTGTTGAACACCGTGTGGTGAATGGGGACGATATTACAACTTACAATGCAAATGTTAAACAAACATATGTTGAAGCGAGAAATGTTTATGTTAAAATAAAGGCTAAGAATGAGAGATCCAAGCAAAATATAGCAACAGCACCTCTAATGACAGCTCTAAGAAGAGACATGAACAGACTACAAGATATAATTTCAGCTGTTGATGACAGTTTGTCACAAAGTCTACAAATGGACAAGAGTGACCTTGGAGAATTTGTTGAATGAAATGTGTGACAAGATAACTAAACTGACTGCCATACAGCCAGACATCTACTTGCTGAGTGATGTTGAGACAATAATGGGGACTGCATATAATAAAATAAGGAAGATAAACCTGAACTTGAGAAAGAACCAACCTCCAAAAGTGCCTATGATCTTACCAAATGATAAAGAGTGCCCTAATAACACAGAAGGTATGTTGACTAACTTGACACCCCCTGTGACCAGTGATGTTCATACTCTAGCAGGTGGTTCAACTTTAGAGCCTGTTGGGCCCAGTACCCTGAATACTCTCCCTACTTCTCTCTCGGCCGGTATGTCACCTGTGAAACCAACTGCCCCTGGTATCGGTTCCACCATGAATGTTACACCTGAGGGTAATAGGGACTCTGCTTGTTAAATGGGTAAACCCCCATTCGTGCGCAAATTTGGAAAAGGTAGCTGCAGAAAATTGCGGCCCATTATCCGACATAACAATTTCTGGGATACCATGACGACAGAAAAACGATTTCAAGTGGTTCACGACGTTCTCTGAAGTGGTATTCTTGAGTGGAGCGACTTTGAAGAATCGGGAGTAATAATCGACAGCAATGAGATAGTCTTTCCCATTATGATGGAAAAGGTCTGTGGCAATCTTTTACCAGGGTCATTCTGGGAGTGGAGACGCTATCATAGGCTCTGCATGGTTTTGTCGATACTTACAACAAGTTGGGCACGTCGTAACCATATCTTCAATCTGCTTACTCAGCCCTGGCCACCACACAGACTTGCACACTCTTTCTCGACACTTTCGTATTCCTTGATGACCCGCATGCATTTTATCCAGAGTATCGAGTCGTAATGAAGACGGATATCATCAGAATACCTCTTTGCAGTGTGATATTACCTCTCTCTGCCAATAAGCAAGAAGAGTTGTGTTCAGCTTGGTCCTATCTGGCCAGCCTTCAGTGCAAAATTCTGAAAGTTTTCTGCACACTCCATCATCTTGTTGATGAAGTCGAATTTCTTCAAGTTTCCGTTCGCTAGCTGGTAGGCTTTCGAAAATGTTCGCCACATACAAGCTCAAATCTTCTGTCAACCGCTTATCGACTTTCGTAGGTGGTTTTCTAATTGGTGCTCTTGAAAGAGTATCAGCAGTGACTAACTCCTTTCCTGGTATACGATTAACGTGGAATGAATATTTCATCAGTCTCATTTTAAATCTCTGAATTCTAGGAGGGAGTTGATCAAGAAGCTTTGTGCCAAACAAGTGGTTTGTGGTCTGTCTCAATGAGGATATCTTTCCCAAGAATATAATCGTTGAATTTCTCGCACGCCCAAGTTGTTGCCAAAGCTTCTTTTTCAATGTTCGGTGCTAGTCATGGATCTGGATGTGTATGCAATTGGCTTTCTTTCACCGTTCTCTTTTTCTTATAGAAGGACAGACCCAAGACCATAAGAGCTTCGAAGCATCTGCTGACAAAATGGTTTTCTTGGAAGGATCATAATACGCAAGTACTGGTGTGGAACTTAATTTGACTTTCAACTTCTCGAAGGCTTCTTGTTGAGCTGGTCCCCATAGAAACTGACTGTTTTTACTAAGGGAGGTCTCTAATTGGCTTCGTTTTCTCTGCTAGGTGGTTAATAACCGAGATTGTTCATCTAGCTTCTCCTGCCAAAATCCTGAATTACAATCCAATTTAGTGAAGATTTTGGATTCGCTGATCTGTGCCAATAGGTTATCTATCTTTGGAAGAGGGTAAGTCTCGCGAAGAACATTCTCGTTGAGTTTCATTAGGTCGACACATATTCGAATATTACCATGTAGTTTGGGTACGACGACCATCCCTGCACACCACTCGGTGGGTACATAGACTTTCGAGATAACGCCCAAATTTTCTATTTTCTCCAATTCGGCCTTGACTTTGTTCAAGAGTGGGATTGCCACTCTTCTTGGCGTCGTCAGAGCGAAGGGTTTTGAGTCGGGTTTCAATTTAATGCTGAAATCACCATCCACCTCTCCCAGGCCTTTGAACAAATTTGGATAGGTGGATTTAACTTCGTCTTCGATCAGCCTGCTCTCGTCATCTTGAATAGTTTCTACTTTCTGCACCAGGTTTAGGGCATCAATAGCAGGTCTTCCAAGCAAAGGCTCTTTAAGATTCCCAATAACATAAATATCTTGCAGTGTTTCTTTCAAACTTGAGGTTTTCAATACGCCTTTGATGACTCCTTTAATGGATAGTTTCTCTTGACCAGGTCCAAACAAAGTTTTGGATGTTGACCTAAGCTGTGGAAGTCCACTTCGCAAATAGTCAGCTTCAGGTATTACCGTTACATCGGCTCCAGTGTCAATCTTGAATCGTACTTTTGTCCCTCCTAGTGATAAGTTTACCGACCAATCTTCTTTATTTTCATGGTCGCTAATCTCACCAAGGAAGTAATCTTCGGAATATGAGCACTTCGGGTCTGTTTCTTCGGTAATTGAGCGAACTTTCTTGCTCCTACAAACCGCAGCAAAGTGTCCTTGCTTTTTGCATTTTAAACATGTCGCATTAATAGCAGGGCAAGCATCTCTTTTGTGCACTGGCATTTCCCACATCGATAACATTGACTTTTACCGGCTTGATACAGTTTGAAAATTTGCTCTCCTTTCGAGTTCTCTGGCGATTTTGGTTTATTTCGTCCCTTAGTCTTGCAGAGGCGATTAATTTTTCCATCTTCGCCATCTCCCTGAAGGATATTGTGGTGATGCTTGACTAACTCTGAACTCTTGGCTTCTTTTACAGCTTTATCCAAAGTCAATTTCTCATCTTGCATCAGCTTTTGCGATAGACTTGCATTTTGAATACCAACCACAATACGATCTCCTATAAGTTCATTCGTTAGATCTCCAAACTGGCATGTCTCTGCTAATTCATATAGCGCTTCGATAAAATCGATCACCGACTCTTTCTTGCCTTGTACACATTTATTAAAGCGTGCTCGTTCGAGTATAACATTAGACCGTCCCACAAAATGCGATGCGAATTGTTGAATAACTGTCTCGTAGACATAGTCTTTTTCACTGAGATGAAAGCTTTCAAGATATTGTTGGCATTTCCACCCATTGCATAAACCAAAGTGTTAATCTGGACTTTGTTGTCAAGTCCCGCTGCAATGCGATAGCATTCAAAGCGTTCTATCCATCGCTTGTATCTATTCGTTCTATCTGTGCTGTTGCCATTCTAAAATATTTTATCGGCTGGTTTTTTCTCTTTTCTGCTTCCCCAAACACCTGACACCATGTAAAGTCCTCGATATATTATTATTAAAGAACTAAAAACTACATGTTCAACCATGCATTACATACTAATTACAATAACACCTAATTATCATATGTAGTAAACAATTAACTTACAAATGACCACACAGAGGTCATTTTACTGCATTACCAAAATCGCTCTATTTTGCACGATAATGGGAATATTTCACAAAACATGATTTAGTTTTATTAGAGATATTTATTGATTAGCAGACGAAATTTAGAGACATTTCTGTAAAAAGTGAATATTTTACTGATTTTCTTTAATGTTTTTTATTTTCGAACCTCATTATATGCCGTATCAGGCAGTGCATATTTCCATTGTTACATCGATTCAGACAAAAAATTCATAACCAGATCAAAGAAATATGTTTTCGCTTGCTATTGATCAAATAAAATTTTGGGGCAACTTAGAATTGAATTTTTGACGAAATTTTTCGTACCCCTATTTGACCCGAATAACCGTATGTTAATATAATCAGCGTCAAGTCATGTAGTTCAATAAATAACCAATGAGCTCGTCAAAAGAGTTTATTTCTTTGAGTGTTTGAGTAAACAAGCCTAGGCCTATAAAACTACCTTAGCTAAAGCTGTACGATTGGTTAAAAGCATTTAGGTCTAAATCACACTGTTTACAGTCGCTTATTGTTCAGGTAATGCCTGATAGCCGGTGCCGCAGATTTGGTTTCAATTATATTTTATCAGGGATATGCCGCGATAAGTATAACAAGTATATTTTGTCTCCCCCTCCCATAAACATGTGTTCTCTCACGACTCGTTGTGCTTATGTCCTTTTCGTACATAAATAGTGTACGCGGATTTTGTCAAAAACATCGGCCATTTACAAGGTCATACGATACAAACGTCGCATTGTTTTGACGTTTTTTAGTCGTATTTCCAGGTGGGTTAGCTAACTTCGAGCTCACAGCCGGACAAGAAATGCAAATACTGTGATAAAAGATGCATATTTGAAGATACAGGCTTGCAAATAACATGCTAAATAGTGTTTTTGATGGGGATTCAAAAAGTGAAAGTGATAGCTAGTCTGTGATAGCTAGTCAATGTTTTTGTTCAGACAATCGCGTAATTTGATAGTATACGATCGTGTTGGACTTTCAAACTCCCATAAATCGCTACAATGTTAATAATGACTATAACTATGGTTCAGAATTAGTTGATCTTTTATTTCTGACTTGAATGGTGGTATTTCTGTCTTCTTAGCATGTACTGAACCGAAGATATTAAATTTCTAGCTGTCAACCTCTTGAGGGCGACCTCGCAAAGAGTTTTAATATAATTAATATTAAAGCTGGATTCTTTCACCGTGATGTCATGCCAAAAAATGCATGTCTTTTCTATTTTTAAGAGAGACCCTCCATTGATTTGTAATTTGGTAATATTAATTACAGTGGTATATTTGATTATTTTCTTAGTGCTCAATAAATTTGTTGAATTTGTTCTGAGAAAACAGTCAAACTTCAGACCAAACTTCTACGCAGTTACTTATTTAGTAGTTTAACTGCATCATGTTTAAAACAACAAGAAGATAAAGACAACGTGTACGGGTGAGTTATCCATGAAACTAGAAAATATATGCATGCAGAAACCCTCGCCTTGCTGACAAAACCATTGTATTTTCTGAACATGAAGTATCTAAGTTGTCATGGTAACACGATAATTTTTTAAGAATATTCTTACAAATGAAAAATCGCCTATAAATATCACTTTTAATCACAAAATTATTAATTTCCCAACATATATATGTTAGGTATGTTATTATACGTAATATAAGCCTCGATTTAAGGTAAAATTCAACCACAAATGCTTCGCAAAGCATTTTAAAGTCATTAGTGTTCTTTAATATAAAACTAAACTGCCTTTTAAAATGGCTTTATTGATAAACTTTGAGTTTGCAATAAAATGATTTAAAATTCTCGCTTGCAAATAACTTTGCTTTCTTATTTATTTAAAAAATTCAATGTCATAAAAAAGGGAATCAATATTAAAGATACACTGAAATTATATGCTGTCTTGTTTAGTTGTTTCATATACGCAAAGGCCGTCGGGTTTTAAATCCATTATAAAATCAATATTTAAAACAAACTTACCTTTGTTAACGTCGGCTCTCTTCTTTTAGACGATTCTTTCGCAGTTCCTTTCTCAGAGAGCTTTTGAAATTTACAAAATCTTGCAAAAATGCGAGCAAAAATGAAATATATTTGCAAGAAATTTATCAATCATCAAATCAACTCAGAAATGTTTGCTATTTCGCTGTCGTCATGCAGTCGTTATAATGCAAACTTTAAATTGGACCAATCAGTGTCCGCTATTCGTGACAGTCCGTCATATTTTTGAGATCAGTGAGGATGACCACCCACCCAACACCGTTGGTGACCCACGCCCGCGATATTTGATGAACTTTAGACTCCGCCAATGCTTTCGTTTCCCCAACGATTGTGGGCATGGCTCACTGTGTGTGGGTGGTCATCCTCACTGATCTCAAAAAAAAGGCGAGCTGTCATGAATAGCGAACATTGTGATTGGTCCATTTTTGCTCGCATTTTTGCAAGATTTTGTAAATTTCAAGAAAGGGCGAAAGAATTGGCTAAAGAAGGGAGCCGACGTTAACAAAGGTAAGTTTGTTTTAGATATTGATTTTATAATTGCTTTAAAACCCTGACAGCCTTTGCTTATATGAAACAACTAAACAAGACAGCATATATCATTTCAGTGTATCTTTAATATTGACTCCCTTTTTTATTATATTGAATTATTTAAATAAAAAAGAAACCAAAGTTATTTGCATGCAAGAATTTGAAATCATTTTATTGCAAACTCAAAGTTTATTGATAAAGCCATTTAATTAAAGCATAGAATGATAGATTAAAGACAGTTTAGTTTTATAAAGAACATGCACTTTAAAACGTTTTGAGAAGCGTTTGTGGTTGAATTTTACCTTAAATTGAAGTTTGTATTACGTATAATATCATACCTAACATATATATGTTGGGAAAATGATATTTTAGGCGATTTTTCATTTGCAAGAATATTCTTAAAAAATTATTGTATTACCATGACAACTACTTTAGATACTTCATGTTCGGAAAATACAATGGTTTTGTTAGCAAGGCGAGGGTAATGTTTAAAATTGTCCCCAGGGTGGGGCAGTTTCCACTCTCAGCTTGCCCAAGGGCCGTGCATTAGTCTCCTAGTATAGTTAGACTGAGCTCATTATCAGCATTTTGAAATATCTGTTACAAATAGAGTATTACTGCCAGGACGTGCCAAGCTATATCTGGTTGGGAGTGGGTGGATGGCAAACTTAAAAAATTGGGCCCCCTTATTTTCGGGGGGCCCCCTCAAAATATTTTCTGGTAGGCAAAAATTTTTCAGTAAAATGGAAAGGCGTGGGAAGGGGGGGGGGCAACGTTTTTTGGGAAAAATGTTCCAAAAATTATTTTTGCAATACTCTTCAGACCTTTTTAGACGTCAATTTTCAGAACACGTTGCACAATTCCAGCATTCCGGGACCCCTTCTGGAAAAGTTGGTCCCCTTTCAAGTTGACTTTTTTTGGCCTGAGAACTGCCTGAGTGTTCTAGATGTATCATCCAGAAACGGTTGGATAAATGTAATTGAAATTAGACCAAAAATATATGTCGGATAACACGGAACCACAAACAGCCATGCAAAAGAGAAGAAATATACTGGGGGAAATCCCTACATGTAGCTTAACACATACAGAAGAGATTATTTATAACTCATTAATTTTATCCACGAAGACAGAGTTCATTTTGTAAACCAACTATTTATTTCATGGATAACTCACACGTACACGTTGTCTTTATCTTCTTGCTGTTCTAAAAGTGATGGCCAGTTAAAACTACTAAATAAGTAACTGCGTAATAGTTTGGTTTTCTCAGAACAAAATTCAAAGTTATTGAGCAACAACAAAATAACCAAATATGCAACTGTAATAAATATTACCAAATCATAAATCAACAGAGGGTCTTTTTTAAAAATAGAAAGACACCTTTTGGCATGACATCACGGCGAAAGAATCCAGCTTTAATATTCATTAGATTAATTAAGAAAACAAATTACAATTTCAACGTAAACTGACAGATGTTTTTGACAAAAAGCGTGTGCACTATTTATATGTTTGAAAAGTTGTAAGCACGACAAGTTGTGAAAGAGCACATGTTTATGGAATATATTACAGGCATTACCTGAACAATAAGTGACTGTAAACAGTGTGATTTAGACCTAAATGCTTTCTGCCAATCGTTCAGCTTTAGCTAAGGTAGTTTTATAGGCCTAGGCTTGTTTACTTGAAGAAATAAACGCTTTTGACAAGCTCTTTGGTTATTTATTGAAGTACATGACTCGACGTTTATTATATGAACATACGGTTATTCGGATCAAATAGGGGTTACGAAAAAATTCTTCAAAAATTCAATTCTAAGTGGCCCCAAAATTTTATTTAATCCATAGCAAGCAAAAACATATTTCTTTGATCTGGTTATGAATTTTTTGTCTGAATCCATGCAACAATCGAGGTTCAAAAATAAAAAAACATTAAGAAAATCTGTAAAATATTCACTTTTTACAGAAATGTCTCTAAATTTCGTCTGCTACTCAATAAATGCTTTTGACAAGCTCTCTGCTTATTTATTTAAGTACATGACTCTGCATTTATTATATGAACATACGGTTATTAGGCAAAGTTGTCAAATTATGGTATTGATCATTATACATTGGGTTGGATACAGAACTTTCTTAAAAACTGACAACAATGCACTATTTTGGAAGGAGAGAGATCAAGCTACACCCATGTTATGTCGGGAGTCCCTCAGGTTTCCATCCTGGGGCCAATTTTATTCTTGGCTTTCATTAATGACTTACTGAAGTGTATAAAGTGCAGGGTGTGCCTTTTTGCGGATGATACAGTCGTTTATCTTGTTGTAAAATTGGTAGACGACTGTCTAAAACTGCAGCAAGATTTACAGAGTTTAGAAAGATGGGAGAAAGATTGGAAAATGGCATTTAATACTACCAAATGCAATGTTCTTCGAATTACGAGACGACAAACACCTATTATTTTCGACTACAAACTTCACGATCACACTCTTGAAGCTGTAAACATCACCAAGTATCTCGGAATACATCTTTCTGAAGATCTCAGATGGAATGAGCATGTGAGAAACATCTCAAATAAAGCCAATAAGACACTGGGCTTTTTAAAGCGGAATCTACAACACTGTTCCACAGCTACGAAGGAGAGGGCATATATAAAGTCCTGTTACAACCAACAGTTGAATACTGCTCTTCTGTATGGGACCCATACACAGCCAAGAACATCAGACAGGTGGAGATGGTTCAGAGAAGAGCAGCTAGATGGGTCCTGTCCCGTTACGGTCGTCAGGATAGTGTTACTCTGTTTTCATCGTTATGTTGTCTTTCTTTAAGTCAGTGATTTCTGCGTGAGCGTATTCAACTGACGATTTTATTTCTTTCAAATCGTTTTCAATGTATTTCACTTTGGTTTCAATGGTTCTAATTTCTCCAACTTGGTCATGATACCTTGAAACATATCATGTATTTGTCTTAAATCAATAGGCTCATCTTCGTTTTCCTTATTCATCTTTATTGGTGTGTCATTACGTTTCGGAATTTTGCTTTTGATTGGTTTTATGGGTGTATTTAAAGTCGAATTATTTAGTGAATGTGTGCCGCGCTGTGTGGCATGTTTACTCGTCATTTGACTTCAAGAAATAAATTTTTCCAAATTTGGATCATCAGCAAAGAAATACACATATTCCCAGTGTTGTTTTAGCAGTTCTTCAATACATTTTCCTATTTTCAGAGTATTTTCTTGTTTTGTAACAATAGAAATTTTCCTGATTGCAAATACTAAGCTATGATCACTAATACCTGTGTGAATGACACCAGAATCAGAGATTTTCTCTGGCATATTAGTAACAATATTATCAATAAGACTGGTGGTTGTTGGAGTTATTCGAGTAGCTTCATCTATCAGTGGTGTTCATTGGTATAATTCATATAGTGATTTGTTGGAATATTTAAATTGTTATTTGTTTTTAGCATATTACAGTTCAGATCACCCAGGATATACATTTCTTTATTTTCATTATCAACAGCTTTGATCAAAGAAATCTCATAATGCACTGGGTGGTCTATAGACTGTAGTAACAAGAAATGGTTTGCTATGCGGCTTAATAATTTCAACACAGACAGCTTCGAGTTCAGTGGGAACTAGATTATTTCTTACTTTGTAATGTATGGAGCTACGCAAGTAAATACAAACCCCATCGCCGTTTCTTGATCAGTCTTTTCTGACAATATCATAGCCATCTAGATTAATCATGTTATCAGTTATATTTGCATCAAGTCGTGTTTCATTAAATGCAATCAGATCAATGAATTTGTTGGTCATTGAAAAATTAATTTCATCTATATTTTTTGGTAGACTCGATATATTCGGAAAAGCCATTTTGAAACCTCTTTCATTTGGGATTGAGCTGAGAGTTTTTAAAAAATCGCCGCTCACAACTCATCATGCATTTCACATGATTGAGATACATTGTGCAGAATGAACTTCCCAAAGCTATCACCGCCCCGATTTAAGTGTAGGTTTGATCTATTTAGCAATGATTTTCCTATGCAGCTATTGTTGATAAATGTAATTTTATGTTTGGAGCAAACATCATTAACTAATTTATTATATTGATCAATTTTATGATTGTTTACCTTGCCATCATAACACTTGATAACACCAGATACTGCTAATTTGTTGGTGTGGGCCTTTGCTTTGTTGATGAGACTTTCCATGTCTGCAGCAACCTTCTTTGGTTCTTCACACACCAAGTCATTTGTTCCAACATGAAGGATAATGGTGTTGTACTGCTCTTCCTCTGCATGGTTCTCATCAAACTTCTTCCCAAGCTGGTTCACAGTGGCACCACTGTAGGAATGTGAAATTGCTTTGCCTCGTGCAGCTCTGCCAATCTTGTCACCGTCAATATGCTTTACCATAGAGTCCCCTATCACCAAAACTGCTTGCTCCTGGCTCTGCTTTGTGGAGGATTTCTTCATGGTAAGTCTGGTAACCACATTGTTGCCGGAGTCCTCTCTCAATTCCTTGCCTTAAGGTTTTGGATGCTTTCTACAACGAGTTGAGTCCTTAGGTGGTCCCCGTGGGCGATTGGCTTCTTTGGAATTTTGGTCATTGCCAGAACTGGATTCTTCCACATCAAGTATTTGAAATGCATTAGGTGTGAGTGGAATATTTTCGTGTTGTTTGTTGACGACGTCGACCATGTGCTTTGTCGTTTTTATGTTCTCATCTTGACTTATTATGCCATTTGCTTGCGCACTTGCCTCTAGAGCGCTTTGCAGAGACCTTCCTCGTTGTCTTTCATATTCTGCAGTTTTTCTTCGGGATGTGCAATTTTAAGCTGAAATCTTTGCTTTTGAATCATTTTCCTCTCCGCGAGGGGAAGACCACGTCCCGTCGTCACATTTCAAAATCGCCCCTACGAATGTTTTTAGCGAGTTTAGATCGCCTTTCCATGTAAAATTATTTACATTGCAGAATAGAAAAGAAGATTTTTCTATTTTGCTTTCAGATTTGCTGGTTTTGTTGTCAGATGCGGAGCTCGGAATTTTGTCACCTTTCGCCATGACACCGGAAATGCGGTAAATTGAACTGTAGCTAAATCTGCTATACCTGTATATACTGTCATCTATACAATGGAAATGTGTTTATATATCTCAAAAATACATCATACACAAATATAAAATGACAGTGTTTTATAATAGAACATATTCATCAAACATATATGCTTGCATGGACTATAGCTAGATTTGTTGTCGCCAACCAAAATAGTCAGTATGCTTTCTCTGTCGGTATATTACTTTAAATAATACATACACTGTATTAGTAGCATCAGACAATTTCCCCCAAATTACGTGCATATACAGATCAAGAAACACAAATTTAGGCGAAAAGAGGAACATTTTGTACATTGGTTTGCGTTCCGTAATATAATCAATTTAAGCAAAGCTATAAATTGCAGTTAATGGAGTAATATGTTCTAGAAGACTGCATTTGCCCGAGGGTGTTTTCAGTCTGCCAACACATCTGTGTCACAAAAACCAATCCGTACAAGGTACGTACAAGGTCCAAGTACACTGGCAGAACAAGGGAACCGTTTTCTAGTCCTGTTAATTAATATTACAAAATATCAGATAAAAATCGAACTTTGGCTACTAAACATGTGAACAACTGATGCTAACTTGAGATTAACCAATCAGAAATTATCCTGAAGGTTTTCCTTCACGTGCATACATACAATGCCCCCTTTTTGCGCAAGGAGTTTTGATCGCAGTTTCGACATGCATTGTGCATTTGCAAGACTTTAGCCAGTGCGTTCACAGCTCTGGAAAAAAAATTAGCTTATAATTCAAGGGATAAACTGAAACCTTGGTAAAGAACTGAAAATTTGGGAAAAAAATAAATAAATAAATATTGTGACTTACAATGCCTAAAGAAAAAGGGAAGCGTCGTTCAGGACCAACTTGAGGTTCAACTCGTGGCCGTCTGCAGCGTGGCATCGAGCAAACGCAGGCTGCAGATGTTGCTGAAAGTTCAACAACAGTGTCGAGTACTGCTGGGGTCAACTACGCCGATTTATCAACGGAGGTTCTCTTCATCTCCTCCTGGCGCAACGAAATCTCGCCCTTTCTGGTTCATGTGATACTCTTCTTCGTTGCCTCGCCGATCACGATGGAGCAGAAGTCCCAGCTACATCGAGTGCCGATCCGAGACCCAGCTCAACACCAGAATACTCATCCAAATCTCTCCGCTCGCTTGCGTCCAACCTTGTTCCTCTTCTCTGCAACGTTTTGGCCCAACAAAACGGGTCGCCGCCAACTATGCCACCTCAACCACCGCTGCTGCCAAGTTTTCGCGTGCAAAACGCTCCAATGCCGCCTCTGCACCTTGGTAATCCATCACAAGTTGCCAGCCTCCTTTCGTCGCAGCCGTCGACATCCTCTTTGCCATTGGACATCAGCCCAAGTTTACCAAAAAGGCTTGAAGAACAAATTCCAAAGGGTGAGTTTGTCGATTTTTCTTTGCTTCTCCCGGGTAATTCAGACAGTCCTAGTTTTGCCCCTATTCACCTTTCCGTAGAGGGCGACCAGGGTTTCACAATCCCAATTCCCTTCTCAAATTTCGGAAAGCACACTAAAGTCGACAACATAGATAAGTGGCTTACCACTTTTGGTATTTACGCGTCCGTGGTTGTCGCTAAATTTCCACATAAGGCTGCGCAGCATAAGGCAGCACATAATCCGCAAAGCTTCACAAAAGTTTAAAGGCCTCGCATGGTACTCTTACGATATTGATTTCCGAAAGCTTGCTGCCAAAAATCCAGCGCTTAATTGGGGTGAACGCCATCTCCAGCTTTGGCTAGATAAGTTCACAGGTCTCGTGCGTCAAATTTGTTTTGTCTGCGGCGGCGCTGATCACATGTCTGATATCTGCCCTCTTTCCTCAAGGTTTGAAGGTAGCCGGCCATGCAGGTTTTCCAACCAAAGAAGGTTTTGCCGGAATTTCAATGGAGGTGTCCCATGTATTACCTCTCTGTGTCCGTTCGAACACCGCTGCAATCGACCTGACTGTGGTGAACAGCATATGGCGCCTACACTCACGATGACACCAGCGCTAAAAGAGTTGATGACACTTCGGGTCGCAGAAAACACAAGTAAAGCTTTTGTTGACAAATTAAAACCAGTTACACCAATTAATGTTAATTTACTTGAATCTCTGTTAACTGACCACCCAGATCGTGAACTTGTAGTTGGCCTCTGTTCGGCTTGAGGGACGGGTTTAAAATTGGTTATCACGGGCCTCGTCAGCCTTATTTTTCAAAAAATCTAAAAACCACTTACTTCTTGCCGGAAACCGTTGATAGTAATTTACTCAACGAAGTCAAACAAGGTCACACTATTGGGCCTTTCACTTCACCCCCATTTCAAAATGTCCAAATTTACCCTTTCGGTCTCGTTCCTAAAACTAATTTGTCCACATGGAGAACAATTTTCCACTTGTCGTATCCAAAAACTTCCAACGCCAGCGTCAATGTGAACATTTCGCCTGAGGAATATTCGCTACAATATGTACGCCTTGATGATGCTATAAGAATCCTCCTAAAGCTCGGTCCAAAATGTTTCATGGCCAAAACCGATGTTAAATCCGCCTTTCGCAACATACCAGTACATCCTGACGACTGGGAACTCCTCGGCATGAAATGGCGTGATTTGTATTTTTTCGATCGTGTGCTTCCTTTTGGTCTTCAAAGTGCCCCTTTCATTTTCAACATGCTTTCGGATGCCCTCGAATGGATTCTTATACACAAACTAGGAGTTTCAAATGTTCTCCATATTTTGGACGATTTCTTTATAGCTGAACCGTCACCACGTCAATCATCAAACGCTCAAAAACGGACCCATTTCGCCGTGGATGCCGTTTAACAATTGGATCATTGCTTAATGAATTCTGCCCTATACGAGCAATGAAGAATTATTTACTCCAAACACCTTCCATCCCCGAAAGTCGACCTCTTTTTCAGTTTGAATCTGGAGCTCCACTCACCCGTGCAACACTAACTTCACAGCTACGCAGTTTACTTCAGCAGCAAGGACTAGACGAAACCCTGTATGCTTCACATAGCTTCAGAATTGGAGCAGCTACAGCAGCTGGTTCAGCAGGACTCCCTACTTGGCTAATAAAGACTCTTGGATGCTGGTCCTCAGATTGTTATGAAAGATATATAAGAACTCCGAGGGACGTTTTAGTGTCTGCAACATCAAAACTGATTGCAAATACAAACCAAAAGGTCTAAGTCTACTCCGTTAATTATTATATGTACTTTATCGCTGTTAGTGTTATAGCTTGCATGGTTATGTGGATCCTTTTCGCGTACTTCATGGAGGTTAGCCACTCATACCGCGCTTTCATACTGCAAACAGATCCATTGAATTTGCGTTAACGGTCCACATAACCAGCTAATAATTATAAGCATGTCCTAGCCGGACTTGGCCGCGTCGGCAATGAATTGAAACGGGTCTGCAATTAGTTCTTTCAAATAAAAACAACCCCAAAAGTTTAAACGCTTAACAAATCTGCCTTACATTGACATGCTATAAACGCAAAGAAAATTATTAAAAAAAAAAGTCTCACTATTTCCCTTGTCATGGAGTTTATTTTTAACCACCCATTTTTTCACTTTATTGCCGACCCGGTTGACTCGGTGCTACTTCCCGTGGTGGAAATGACAACCTATACTTTGTGTAGATTGTCATTAATGGCAGGGAAGTGCTGTCCGATGGACAACACTTCACCATGTGAAGCGCAATCACTGCTCATTTAGGTCGCACTGAAGACCTGAATGAGCAGACCTAGAGACTCGATGTGGTCAGTCAGGTTATCAGTTGCGGCCCGGGGTAATGTGCCCTATACCAATAGTTGTTCACCAGTCCAACTAGGTCTCAATGTCGACGGCCTGACGGATCTGAACAGGGGTTTGGCTGTTCCCCTGTTATCTAGAGGTCCGCCTGTTCCTCTAGAACAACCTACAGTTTTTGCGTGTATCCTCAGCCAGCTTTGAGTACCCTGGGTAATGTGCCCTATACCAATAGTTGTTCACCAGTCCAACTACAATCATGGACAAAACTGTTAATAAAACTAATTAATATCATAATGAAATTGCATTAACCAAATTGTATTCCACATTCTGCCCCCCTTTCCCCCATTCAATGTTGGATTCGCCATCCCCACACTATAGACCCATTACTGCAACATTGTTCCGGGGGGAGAGGGGGCCCATGTGGCGTGATGCGCATGTATTAACGAATATTGAACAAAAATGTACATAACTGCGAGTTTTATTAACAGGTTTTGTCCACGATTGTAGGTCTCAACTCGCTGAACGACATGCACAGAGTCAAGCATGCCCTCTGCAGTCTAGAGATTCGCCTGTTTCTCTAGATAAAACTTAGGTTAGCGAGAGTCTCTAGACAGTTAGGCCGGTGTCCCAGGATTTTCGCCGCCCCCCCCTACAATTTCGCCCCCGGGGGCGAAAATCCTAGGAAATTCGCCCCCCTTTAGGAACTTCACCTTTTCTTTAGGATTTTTGTCCTCCGTTCAAAATTTCGCCCTTCCTAACAGTTGCATGGGATAATTATTACACGGCTTTAGTCATTTGAAATCAGTATCAATTCAAAATTGTTAAGACAGAGCTTGAAATAACAACCGATCAATGATCGGCATGGAATTGCTTATGATCGGCGGAAAAGCAGGCTTTCGGTTTACAACCTGAAAAAATCAGGGAAAGTCATGATCGAGAACTTTGGGAACGTTATTTCAAGCCCTGTAAGAATACAAATTTACAATTACATGTATCGAACGGACTTGCACAGTACACAGTTAATAGAATAAGCCCTTCTGACGCTTCACAGCACACCATGCATATTTTGCATTTTCAGTGTTAATCCTTAAACTCATTGTTAAAAAGTAATCATCATGGTGGTTATTGTAATTGTTGGTATTGTTTTGCATCCACATTTTGTCGTTATTGGAAAATGTATGGCTTACAAGTTGTCACTATTTTTTACTGGCATTATTTCAATATAGTTTGTAAATTTCAGAAGCGAAGGGTAGAACTTGCCAATAAGCAATACTCCAATAATATACGTTTCAAAAAAGACAAAAAGCTTTTAGTTTTGCAGAGTTACATTCTCGAATGTTTAAGGCACTAATAAAATCAAAATATCATGAAATTATTTGAATAAACCACACCACATATATATATATAATGCAATTTTCTTTGCGGAAGTTAAAAATCAAGATTACATCACTGACACTGACATGGAAAGTTGACGATTCAATGGACAATAGTCAATACGCTTCCCAACAAATTCCATAGATTTTTTATTAATCCTATAGTTTATTGTTAGCAAGTGATTAAGGTCACAGAACACCTTTGAGTGTTAATTTTGCCCAAAATTTTTTTATTGGTTTCAATGAAAGCATTAGACTCGTTGTAATATCTGACCAAGTTTGGACGAAAAATGTTGAAAACTTGCAGTTATTTAATAAAATACATTTCGCTGCAATAAGAAAAACACTGAAAATGTAATATTCAAATTCAATTTCCTCCCGAAAAATTTTACGGTAATTACGGATTTTCAAACGAGTTGTGCTCCTGCGGGTTTTAACCAATTTTTCTCAAATTTTCACAGGACATAGCTGAATACGTCGGTTTCAAAATCGTGTTCGGCTTTTTTTTAATTTTGGATATTTTAAAAATAAAGAGCAATTCACTCAAACAATTCAGAAATATATTGCAGTCGTCAAAGAAATTGCCATATCAGCGGAATGACAAAATAAACAAAAATTTCCGAACACAATTTTTTAGAACAACTATTTTACTGTATAAAAATGATATTTTCATAAATCTAACTTAAAACCAGCAGGAGCACAACTCAAAAGCGTAAAGGTACCGCGATTTAAGATTTTCCTGAATAATTCTTACATTATTTTATTGTTGGTTAATTTTACAACTTTACCATATTTTGCATGCACTGGCGAACATTTGGTGAAAATTTGATGAAAATCAGACTGATATTGAGCGTGCAGGAGCGTTTTTCCGCAAATCGCCAAGAAGGGTGTCCTGTAACCTTAATGTGGCGGCTATTGTTAACACTGGTATTGATAAAATTTGCAAGCAATTGTTTTTATAATATGTTATGTGAATGTAACTGCCAGAAGAATACGACAACATGATTTTATGCGATCTCTGTGGGCAATGGTTCCACTTTAGATGTGTAGAATATGACACATTGACACTAGTCTAAGTATCTCAAATGAGGGTGATTGCTAGAAAGTATACTTCAAAATAAGATTTCCGTTTTTATAACGTAGAAAAAACCATTCTAACGCAGAACTAAACCCTGTTAGAACAAATTAGTAGGGTATATTTTAACTGGTTTATAAACTTCAATATTTATATGGAACGATTGTGATAATTTTATTTAGCTGTCATATTAACTTCCATCAAATAACTCTAGCCTGCGCCACAGATAATATATCAAATTCGCTCCTGTACAGTTTATCGTTCATGTAATGAAGTTGAATATGTTGGAAAGAGATAGATAGTTAAAAATGAACAACTGGCCACTAAGCAGGACAACAATAACTTGAAACATATTTTGTGGCATATATTTTGGGCAGAGAAGTGCTCGAAAACAGTTCCGGTGTCACAGGAGATTCACCCCCCCCCAGGAGATTCGCCCCCTCTCAAAAGGGGGGCAATATTCCTAGGATATTCGCCCCCCCCCCGGGCGAATCTCCTAGGAATATCGCCCCCCTTTAGGAATTTCGCCCCCCCCATATAAATTTTGAATTTTTGATCTAAAAACAAAACGATTGCAAGTTGAAAAGATGTATTGTGTGATTTATTTATTTATTTATTACAAGGAGACAAAATCACATACACATTTTAAGCTTTTTAGCAGCTGGTGGTTTGCACAGTCTGCATAACCACTCATTTTTGAGGGCAATTGCTAGATAGTATACTTCAAAATAAGGTTTCCGTTTTTATATTAATTTTTAAAATAAGTTAGGGTTAGGTTAGGGTTGGGGTTAGTATTAGGGTTAGGAGTAAGAATTTTTAAGCCAAATACATGGCCTTTCCGATTATAAAGTAAAACAACGCCATTTCACATTCCAACCAACACCAAGGAAAATGAAGACCGCACTTGCGGGAGCAAAATGCATAGTGACCACGCTTCCGGGAGCAAAATGCATAGCAGCTGCGCCTCCGGGAGCAAAATGCATAGCAACCGACCACCGTGATCCCAAGAATAGTGTAAAGTATTTGAGGATTAACTACTCTTTATATATAGGTAGAATCTGCATATAAACTGTATTCTTGACTTTTATGTATATTCTTCGGTATTCTTGACTTTTATCTATATTTTTTAGTAAATGAGAACTTTAAAATTTATTATTACACTGACCTGAAAGGTGAAGTCTCTTAAATCCCTAATTTTCTGTTTTCTTTGTCGTAGAGAAATAGACTTTGCGTTCGCGCATCTCAGGCTCAGCGTGCAACGGTTAAGCCAAAATGCCATTGATTCTTCGACTCCATGATTTATATATTATAGTAACAAGGCTGGTATTTATGTACGTAATAGCCGGCTCATGCCATGCTTGTGGTACATTTTTCGTTTATTAGCCCATATATAGACTTGTACGCACACACACAATTCCGAACTCCAAGGGTGACATATTCAGTCCAGTTTCAAAATGCCGGCTTTTGGCTGAGTGATCAAAATATATTTCACACAGTTTTGTTGAATTTTCAAAGAGTTGTGTGCCGGTTTACTTTGGACTTTCTTGCATGTTGAATTAATGTGTTTTTCTTTGTGTAACAACTGGAGAACCCCCAAAATTTGGACCCAGCGAATTTTAGTATACAATATAGTGGAATATACAATATAGTGGAATACAATTAACAAGGACAAGTTAAAGGTTTGACAGTTTCACTTTAATAAACAACTTGTACTTGTGTGATTCGGCGATAAAAAGCAAACAAGACGGCAAAAACTGGGGGTAAGTGAAATGAAATGTATTATATTAAAAGAAAACAATGACAATCCTTATGAAATCCACAATAATTATATTGAACTAAGCATATAGTTTATCATCCCATGATAATTTTTTTTAGCAAATAAGAAAATTTAATTTCTGCCAGGCATATTAGTTATTTTGTGCATAATCAGCATTTTACCTGGGGTGGTGCAGGGTCATTTTCTGGTAAGATATTATTCTTAGACAAATTTTCCTTCCAATAACCACCCCTAAAGGCAACCCTTCTAAACATTACAAGCACTTCAGAAAGGCTATTGCTTTTCCTTTTCAGAAGTTAGAGCTATGTCGACACTGCCGTTTCAGGGCGGGGTCATTTTCAGGACATTCGCCCCGGATTCAGGTTTTCGCACATATGCCATGTTGACCACCATGGTCATTTTACCCTAAAACAGTTGGGATTACCTGTCCTAAATGAATCGCATACAAACTCATATAAAGATCCTAGACTATTAGGCTTAAATGATGAAAGAGAAACAAATTTGTTCAGGAAACATAGCCATAGGGGATATAACGTTCATGTCCGGGCTGGTCATGCTACTAATAATGAAACGTGGAAATGAGGCCATTGGGTCAAAAGTAAACTTCCCTTTAGAGAATTGTTTAGAAATACAAACTTTTGCATTCAGTTCATGTGGCAAAAAGGCAGCACTTTCTGTTGCGATGGTAACTCCTAGTTATAGATTTCCACTGACCATAGGTCTCCCGAAAAGGTCTTTTATTTTTTTAAAAGATCCATACAATTTGCTTGTGGCTTACGATTTGTATTCTTGTCTATTGCACCATAGTGCGTATGTCGTGATTTTCAGGTCAGTGTGAAATGCCTGAGCAGGTGTCTTGTTAAATTTAATAACAGGTTTTTACATATCAGCCATAAATCAACTCTTTCCTTGATTATATATTACTCAATACACAACAGATAACATCAAGTGCAATCTCCTCCAACATTGTTTACACTATACATCCATCTATCCTTCTATTTATATCTGAGTAAATTTTTACTGTAATCACAATAGTTGCAAGGTGGAACTTTGCACTAAAAACCATACTGTAAATGCTGCTTTATTTTCCAACTGTATCATAAAACTGTTGACTGTAGCTCATTGTTTTTCAAGTATTAAGTTATTCTGTTCATGCATGTATATCCAAAACGTTTATAATTATGCTCTGTCCTAATGTAATGTAATGTACCACTGGTATTTCTCACCACCTACCTTCTCACAGATGCTTTCGCCACCTAAGCTAGTGTTCAGCTCATCTGCACCAGATCCTTGCACACTTATCCTTTCCTATAAAGTTGATATATTCATTTTGTAGCTTGACTTAGTCTCTAGAGAGAACGCTACTACAGTACTCTTCGCCTTCAAAATTACAATATTTAGAAACTTAACTCATGCATGTATATCCAAAACGTTTATACTCCATCAAAACCATAATGTATCACTGGTGGTAATATGGTATTTCTCACCATCTACCTTCTCGCAAATGCTTTCGCCACCTAAGCTAGTGTTCAGCTCATCACCAGATTCCTGCACACTTATCCTTTCCTACAAAATATGACATATAATCCATTTTGCAATTGATCATTTTGTAGCTTTACCTAATTTACTCTCCAGTTTCAAATGCCCCCTCGACCTGCCTGGTACACCTATAATTTTACAAGTGGCGTGTTTATAACCAGGGGACGTTCGATACTTACAACCTCACAGATGCTTTCGCCACCTAAAAATCAGCATCTCGTAAAGTCTGGCAAGTGTGGACCAAAGGCATATGATATCAACTCTAAAGCTACATTGGCTAGTTTACATGCAGGGATTGGTGAAACACATCTAAAAAGTATTTTGTCAGTAATGAATATCCCACCAATGAGTCGAGCTTCCTTCAAAGCCAGCGAACGAGAAAAAACAATTGATAATCATCGGGGAAGAACCACATGAAAACAATTTAGTGTCTGTTCCTTGATCGTATGACATGAGCTGGCAAAAACGGGGAAACAGATTTAATTCTAACACTGGTCAAGCTGCTACCACGAGTCAAACCACAGGAAAAATTTTGATTATGCTACAAAGGTAGCATAACAGCAGATAGCTGAAGATCTATAGTTTCTAAAAATATATAGTCAATCCTGGTCAAAAATCCTTGCCACACTTAGTCGAAATAGCATAACATTTACTTCATTTCTGATTACCATATGCATAGTTGCCCATTTTTTCTGATTACCATATACATAGTTGCCCATTTTATGCAAAATTTCATGTCCAAACACCCCCTTATCCCCCTTATCAATGTTGTGTAACACCTTGGATGTATAACACACTACACACAACATTGAACAGGGGATAGGGGGGTTGCTATGCCTTGTTATTGATGTGGGAGTCAAATTTTGCACAGTCAGTGTCAAGTGTGCCAACATTTTTTACCAGGATTGTCCGAATATAAAAATGAAACTAAAATTTATGCACATATATAAATTTGACTCAGAATGTACTGAAGCATTATTTACATGTTTTTACATATATTGGGTGGTGTGTTCTAGACGATTTCATTGGGAGTTATTGAAACCCTAGTGTGCATGTCGTAATGTTGATAATTATGATGTCATATGTGGGAGGTGTTACTACAAATCATGATAATCACGTGTATAGAAAATGAGGCTGGCTACAAAATAAAATTGAAAATATGCATTTCGATAATTAGATTAATTTAAGGATGATCTACACAAGAAAAATCATAGCAAAGACAAGGGCTTTGGTACTTTATTTATAGAAAGGAATCGGGTTTTTCAAATAGGGCGATCGTGAGAAAATGTCATATAAGCCCTTCATCAGTAGCAAGAATATAGAGGGAAGACCAACAACCAGCTGCTGAGATGTAAACAGTTAAAAGGCAACAAGGTTGCCCAAGAAAAGTTGACGAGCGATCGTAATTGTCTCCATAGCTTATGGGAAAGGTGTGGTTCTCAAAGTTCCTTATGAGAAAATGAATGGCAATTTCTTTGCACAGTACATTGGAAAGCATTTTAATACTTGTTTTGCAAAGTGCGGACATAAAAAAAAGATCGTCGCCTGTAGCCATCGTGTAGCCATTTTTGAAAATAGGCAATTAGCTTGCTGTCAACAAGTAGATTAAATGCTAAGTACAATTACACACGTCTTCACAGCGTAACTCCAATGGTGCAAAATTACAAACAGTGTTCCCTTGATATTTCCTAATTATTTGCAAAGGACAGTTGGTCAGATAATATACACGAAACGGCAACATTGAATGGGAAGGGGGGAGGCCTTAAAAATGCATAAAAATTTATCGTCGTCCTACTGTTTATGGCCAAGATTGTCTGAAAATTGCTACATGTTCATTTCCACGAAAAATGCATTTAACCTTGTACAAGACACTTGTGCTAATTTATTCTGCATAAAAATATCAAGTATGATTGTTATATGTGTTGGCGCCGTGTACTATTTACGTCTTTAGTTAAGGTGGCTCTGCTAAGCTGCTCAAGTTATACTTGCTTTCAGGTTACATATAAGACAATCATGGTCTTACTCTAGTAGAAGTTGTACAATCCAACTATCAAAGTTCAATCGCTTTTTTATAAATAGGTCCATACTCCTATGAAATATCTGTTTTTAAATATGTATTTCAGTTGTTCATAAAAGAAGGCAATCTATACGATATTAGATTGAAATTAAGCCAATGTGTTTAGATAATTGAGAATTATTTGCACAAGTAATGTAAACAAGAGAAATTTTCTACTTCATTTTACATAACAAAGAGTAATTGCAAGAGCTTATTGCGATATAATAATGCGCTGCAAATCAATATGTAATTGTTATACGTGCGGGCCTCCGGGCTTTCTGTATTGTGACCTCCGTACTCAGTGACAGTATACTCAATGAAACAAGAGCTAAGCGAACATATATGAATTTGCGCAAGTAATGTAAACAAGCGAAATTTTCTCCTTCATTTGACATAACAAAGAGTAAGTGCAAGAGCTTATTGTGATATAATAATACGCTGCAAATCAATATGTAATTGTTAGACACGCGGGCCGCTGGGCTTTCTGTATCGTGACACTCAGTACTCAGTGACAGTACTCAAAGAAACAAGAGCTAAGCGAAGATATATGATTTCACTGTCTGAAATAAAATGTTTTTAAATGTTGGCATAAGTGTCGCAATTCTGTTTGTTGGTATTTTGTAGGAAAATTGGGCCTTTGGAAACAACAATCACAGTACTTGCCATAACATGAGTTAAGACAATGTCTATATCTCATATTAAGTTTGGAGGTTTTAATGAGTAATGTCAATTATTGCTTCAAATCTACAATTTGTTTTACCTATTTGCCATGAGATTGTAAGGACAGTAACAATGAACAAAATGTTGTGTGTATTTTATGTATTTATTTACAATCCAACGAAAAATTAAGCAATTACTGTGAGTACTGTTCACGAGTACTGTCAGTTAGTTATTAAGCTACTAGAGTTCATTTATATATGTATATATAGATTAATATTTTGTCCGATACGGCACCAGACTTAAGTATTTGGTCAACATCACATCATAAGGACAACCCAATGTTCAATTGTAAAGCCTGACACCGTCTATGCCTCTACAATGGCATCAGCAAAGCTCTTTGTTGTAAGAAATTTCTGAGTGTCCGCTTGGCTGTACGTTGCCATCAAACACGATTCGTTGTTGCGCACGCGATATATTCCTCATATCGATAATTATGATATGTTGGATCTTACACAGCAAGATTAATTAAAAATTCTATTTGTCAATTGGCATGTGTAGCGTTAACTGAAAATATGTATACTAAAATATATCTATAATTACGTTGTATCAGTCTGCCTTTATAACCATTACTGTCCGGTTCAAAATAGACATATATGCTATTTGAAGAGAAGATTAAGGCCCGGCCTACCCAGAAATCCGGTATCAAATTACAGTATACAATATTTATTAATATCTACCTATCATTCAATATTTACGAATACCAGAATGACTTTTGAAGTGTTATCCAGTAGTACAAGAACATAAGTACATTTTTGAATATTTCTACAACTGGTGTTCTAAATTTAATACATATATATGTCAAGGATTAAAAACATAATTTTCGGACAATCTTGGCCAAAAGTTCGTAGAACGACAAAACAAATTTGCAACTTTTTAATATACTTGGGTTTTAAAATCATTTTGCACCTCCCCTCGCTTCCCCCATTCAATGTTGCTCTCCCACATTTCTAGTATACGTACAATTTTGTTGTACAGTAGGTCAGATCATAAATATACACGAAACAGCAACATTGAATGGGGGGGGGGGAGGCCTTAAAAATGCATAAAAAATTATCGTTGTCCTACCGTTTATGGGCCAAGATTGTAGTTATAATGGATTTATTTCGAATTATTATTGATTTAGACGCACGTTATTAATACGCAAAACATTATTAAAGGTTCCCTAACGATTCAAGGAGTAAGGCCAATGTATTTCTATGAAATAAAAATAAAATTGTAAGATAATGCATATTCAGACAATCCTGGTCAAAAATCGTTGCGCACTTAGTCGAAATAGCATAACCTTTTCTTCATTTCTGATTACCATATACATACTTGCCCATTTTATGCAAAATTTCATGTCTAAACACCCCCTATCTCCCTTATCAATGTTGTGCAACACCTAGGACGTATAACACACAACATTGAACATGGGAAAGGGGAGGTTGCTATGCCTTGTTATTGATGTGAGAGTCAAATTTCGCACTGTCAGTGTCAAGTGCGCCAACATTTTTGACCAGGATTGTAGTTTATGCATACTTTGCTTAAAGTTTTGAAGTACAATTGGGGTGAAGCTGCCTCCCCTTAAACAAAAACACCATCAATACATAGAAAAAGTTAAAGATTCCCTCAAAAAATCACAAGTTATTCTGGTCCTACCACAAGCATATCTTCCACCATGCCTGTCAAAAATGCATCCAAAAGCGCCAATTAGAAGTGTCCACTATTTTTCTAATTACCAAGTGGAAAAATGTAAGACTGGTAACTAATTCTAATTTTGGAAATCGCGCTTTTTCTCTTGCTTCTGGTACTTTGTAGGATGTGTAAGAATATAATAGGTATATACGAGTGTGAAAGAGGAGATTCTGTGGATTATTTTGATCCCAATTATTGCCATGGTTACTTTATTATTCTAGTTTGCTGGGACTTCTTCCGGGCATTCGCGCTAGTTATGAAGTTTCAAAGGAAGTCACTAAAATACACAAATTTCGGCTAGTTATATCTTTTTTGTTTATGCTCTGATTTTTTTCGTTATTGTGTGATTTGAAAGATAAAGTGTCCATTTATAATCGTATGTTTTTTGTTTTTTGATAATTGTGCAATGAAATTGTAAAAATGCCGTGGAAAAGAGCAACACAATACAAGCGCTTCATTGTCAGGAGCGTAGGCGACAGCAAAGGTTAAGCTCTATAGCCATAGATAACAAAGACGAAGCAGGGTAGAGCAATGGCTAAGAAGTTAAAAAGATTGGATAAAAGGGTAAGATGAGCCT